ACTCAGGAATTACTCCTGGCCGTGCTTGGAGGACCATATGGGATGCTGGGAATAGAACCCGGGTTGAGCCAGGTGCCAGGCAAATGCCCTAACCGCTGTGCTATCACTCCAGCCCCCCAGTAATTATTTTTATCTTCATCATTTTAACTTTACCTAGCCTACTGAGGCTTAGATTGAGCCTCATCGTAAGTAGCAGAAGTAGAATTACAAAAGTCAACTTTTTGTCCAGATTAAGTTTGGATTTCCAGCAGGATCATTTCATCAATCATTATTCTTTCAAAAATATTCAGGCCTGTCACAGAAGTTCTGGTTGCCCTTTATTATGTGTGCTCCTTTTTCTCCCTTATCATTGAGACCCCCCCTTTTTTTTGCTTTAGAATGATTCTCAAGACATTTATTATGCTCCCAGTCCTTTATTAATTTTTTTTTTTTTCAGAAACAAAGCTCAGCTATTTTCTCCACTATTCCATGCAGTGGATAAATAGATCCCACTGATGCAGCATCCCTTTCTTATTCTGGCTTCTCTATTTTAATAACCAGAGAAAATCCTTTGTTGATTTTATCTTTCAGTGTAAACAGCCCCATATCCTTTTCTTCCTTTGAATCTTGATCTAGTGTCTGACATTGTTTCTTTATATTAAACAAAGCTCCTGGAAGAGAGAGACACAGAGTCTCTTGCCCTCATGCCTGGCTGTCTTCACCGGGGCCCCTCGGAGGGGGGCGGGTTGAGTTTCCCTCCCCACCCTGAACAGAGCCCCGGCAGCTGTAGACCTCCGATACCCAGCCACAGTCATGCTCAAGGCCACTCTCCACATGCTTGTACGAGCTTCACGCATGAAGGAACTGGCAGAAGAACCCAGGTCCGTGGGTCCTGGGGCTGAGATCTCCAAATCTGCTTGGACCAGGACTGGGCCTCCTCCACCCAGATCCCCCATTTGCCAGTAGCTAGGCAGTTACACCCACAAACTGCCCCTTTCCCCCACCCCCTCCGGTCATGAAATCCCATCAACAATAAAGACCCAGAGACTATAAAACAAACCTCCCAGAAGAGCACGGCCATGACCTTTCATAGTCTAGGTCTCCTTCTCGGAGTACCCGGCAAGCTACTGAGAGTAACCTGCCCGCACTTCAGAGCCTGGCAAGCTCCCCTGGCATATTCAATATGCCAAGAACAGTAACAATGATGTGTCTCATTCCCCTGACCCTGAAAGAGCCTCCAATTCGTCACCGTTGGGAAAGAGGAGTAAGGAGAGGCTGCTATAATCTCAGGGCTAGGATGAATGCAGTCGTTACTGGTGCCCGCTCGAGCAAATAGATGGATAACGGGATGACAGTGATATACAGTGATACTAAACAAGTATTTCAAAGCTCTGCAGTTACTTTCTTCCAGACACAGAGAGGGGGTTTTCCTTTCTGCAGCGGAGAGTCAGAACTCAGCAGACAAGCACCCAGGTTCTCCTTCACCTACGTGACCACACCTTCCTCTACTTTGTTCTCTTCATACCTGATGATGGCTCCACCTTTGCCCTGAGGCCTCTCCTCTCCCCCCCCACCCCCCGCCCCACACCCTGCAGTGCTCAGGGATTATTTTGAGTTCTGTACTTAAGGATCACTCCTCACGTGGTGATACGTGTGGTGTGGGGATTAAACCTGGGCTGGAGCAATAGCATAGTGGGTAGGGTGTTTGCCTTGCATGCGGCCAACTCGGGTTGGATTCCTCCAGGTTGGATTCCTCCGTCCCTCTTGGAGAGCTCACAAGCTACCGAGAGTATCCCGCCCACACGGCAGAGCCTGGCAAGCTCCCCTTGATGTATTCGATATCCCAAAAACAGTAACAAAAAGATTCACAATGGAGACGTTACTGGTGCCTGCTTGAGCAAATCGATGAACAACAGGAGGACAGTGCTACAGAGCTCTGAGTCGGCTGTGTGCCAGGCAAGTGCTCTCTCCACTGTTTCATCTCTCTGGACCCTGAATTACTCGTTTTAAAATGATTGACTGCCAAGAGTAAAAAAACGGCCCAACAGCCTTACAACCAGGAGCGGCACTTGGTCTATGGCACGGGAAAGGAGTGTTCTGAGCCCAAGACTCTTGTCCTGTCCTGCTCCCTGGAGCTGTGAAAGGAGTGTTCTGAGCCCTGAGAAGCCTCCCTCTGTCTCTTGGTTTGTTTGGCTGTACCCTGTAGTGCGCAGGAGCTATTTCTGACTCTGTGCTCAGAAGTGACCGCAGTGGTGCCCAGGCAACCATATGTAGCGTCAGAGATCCAACCTGGATTGACCATATGCAAGGCAAGAGAATTAACGCTTGTACTCTCCAAAAGAAGAGGTGACGATCAAAAGTGGCAAGGTAGATGGAGCTGATTCTAGGAGTATCATACCAAGCCTAGACTGATTTTCAATCTCTTTTTGCTTTTGAGCCACACCGGACATGCTCAGGAATTGCTCTTGGCGGTGCTTAGGTAGCCAGATGGGATGATGGGGATCAAACCTGAATTGGCTGTGTGCAAGAAAAGCATCCTTCCCTCTGTATTCTCCAGCCCCTCATCTTCCCCTCCCTCCTGCCTTTATTAGAAATGATCTCTAGAGACTGGAGATATAGTACAGAGGGTAGGGCATTTGCCTTGTGCGTGGCCAACCCGGGTTCGATTCTCAGCATCCCATACAGTCCCCTGAGCACCACCAGGACTAATTCTGGCAGTGCTCAGTGGCCATTTCACACAGGGATCTGAACTCAGGGCCTTCTCATCAAAGCATGTGCTACAGTTCTCTTTTTTTTGGGTTTTGTTTTAGGGGCATTATCCAGCTGTGCTCAGGGCTTACTCCTGGCTCTGGGATGACTCCGGGTAATACAGATTGGACCATATGTAGTGCCAGGGACTGAACCCAGACTAGCTACATGCAAGACAAGTACCCTACCTGTTGCCTATCTCTCCATCCCAGTCAAGCTATTTATTTCCCTGGTCCTAATGTTTAAAATTTTTATCTTACTTAACTTTTGAAGCAGCTCAATAATTGTTTTGTACATAAAATCAACACGAATCACAATCATTAACTGTAGCACTTTAGTCTTGCAATTAAAAAGTCATCCCGGGCTGGAGCGATAGCACAGTGCGTAGGGCATTTGCCATGCATGTGGCTGACCCGGGTTTGATTCCCAGCATCCCATATGGTCCCCTGAGCACCGCCAGGGTTAATTCCTGAGTGCATGAGCCAGGAGTAACCCCTGTGCATCGCCAAGTGTGACCCAAAAAGCAAAAACAAAAACAAACCCAGTTATTCCTTTACTACTGATTTCAATGAATAGGACACATGGATTGTCTCTTGGAATGCGAGCTGGAGCGACAGCACAGCAGGTATGATGTTTGCTTTGCATGCATGCAGCTGAACACAGTTCATCCCTGATCCCCCAAGCACCACCAGGAATAATTCAGGAGCACAGAGCCAGGAGAAACCTGATCATCGCTGGGTGTGACCCCAAAAGCCAAAAAAAAAATGACTACCCAAAAATTAACAGTATCTGAGATGGCTGGACTTCATTCTCACTGGAAATGAAATGGCATAAGAGTCAGACTTTCTCATTCTTGCTTAAAAGTGTTTGAAAACAGCTGTCAACAGAAGTGGTGAGGTCTTCTGAGGAAAATTCTGAAAAAGAACCCAAGGTGGCCAGCAAGTCTGAGCTTCTAGAAAACAAGTCTCCATCACAGGCATAGTTGCATTTGTGCAAGGAAAATGCCCTAACCACTCTACTCTCACTCAGGCCCCTCAATTCAAATGTTTTAATGACACGTTTGATGACTTGACCCCTGACTTGAGAGGACAAAGACATTAAACAATAAGAGAATGGTAAAGACGTGTTAAAGAGCTTGAGAAGACCCAAGTGGATCAGTGGTCTCAGGCTGCAACTCCACAGCTTAAAAAAAAATCACGATGCCTGGCCTATATTAATTAAAAAAAAATCCGAGGAGACAGCTCCCCGAAGCTAGTACTTAAAAAAAAAAACCCAAACTCTCCTTCTGTAATTGCGAAATTCCCCCGGCCTTGAAAGCCAACGATCCGGATTTTCTGACAAACGTCTGAGGCCCTAAATGTTCAAAATGGGAAGATTTATGTTGTTTCGGGGGACATGAACATTTTTCTTCGTTCTACGATCTTGGATCCGTCACGAAACGGAAGGACGCTAAACGGAGGCAGAGTCCGGCGGCTGCTTCTTTCCGAAGCGGCAGCTCGAGGCACGAGGTCCCGTCTTCCTCGCAAGACGCGGCGGCCCGACCCAAGTGCTCAGAGGGAGCCGCGCGCGGGCGGACACAGAACCGACCCGCGTCCCAGGCCCGGCTGGCTCTGGACGCCACGAAGCGTTCCTGCTGGGCGCTGGGGGAGGGGGCCGGTTCGCGGGACGACCGACCACACGCTGGCTAGCCGCGCTCCGGAGAAACGACGACCCCGAGCGTGCCAGCAGCCTCCGCGGAAGCGCCGGCGCAGCGGACGCCGCAGGCCGAGACCTGCCCGGGGCGCCCCGGAGCAGGAAGAAGCCCGGCTCCGGCCGACTGCGCACGCGCGAGCGCAGAGCCTGGGGGCGGGGCGGGAGCGCGCGGGGCCTGTGGGAAGGCCGCGGCGGCGGGGCGGGCGGGAGCGCGTAGGGGCTTGTGGGAGGGCTCCGGGGGCGGGGCGGGAGGGCGCGGGGGCTTGTGGGAAGGTCTCGGCGGCGGGCGGGGCGGGAGGGCGCGGGGGCTTGTGGGAAGGTCTCGGCGGCGGGGCGGGGCGGGAGGGCGCGGGGGCTTGTGGGAGAGTCTCGGCGGCGGGGCGGGGCGGGGCGGGAGGGCGCGGGGGCTTGTGGGAAGGTCTCGGCGGCGGGCGGGGCGGGAGGGCGCGGGGGCTTGTGGGAAAGTCTCGGCGGCGGGGCGGGGCGGGAGGGCGCGGGGGCTTGTGGGAAGGCCGCAGCGGCGGGGCGGGCGGGAGCGCGTAGGGGCGTGGGACGGCTCCGGGGCGGGGCGGGCGGGAGCGCGCGCGGGCGTGTGGGAAGGCCCCGGCGCCGCGGCCTTGCGTGCGCGCGTTCTTGGCGCGGCGGCAGGTGAGCCGGGGTCCCGCGACGGGCGGCGGGCGGCGGCGGCGGCAGCAGCGCGGGCGCGGCGGGGCTGCGGGGGTCCGCGGCTCGGCCGTGCGTTCCCCGCCCGCGCGGGCGTCCCGCCGCCCCCGTTTCCTTGGGCGCGGCGGAGGCGCGGGCCCTCGTCCCGTTGCTCTCCGGCGCGCTGGGCTGCGCGTGCGTGGGCCGGGGGCTGCCCGCGGAGCTTCGTCCGTGGCGGCGTCCCGAGGGAGGCCGGAGTCTGCCGGCCTCTGCGTCCGCCGCGGTCGCTGCGGCTCTGCTCTAGCTCCTCTCGCCCGGGGGTCGCACCGCGCTCCTGGTGGGCCCCGGCACCGCTGGCCGCCCCGAGCAGAGCCGGGTGTGCCCGAATGCCGCGCCCCTCCTGCTCTCCCGTTCTGCGGTCACTCCCCAGGAATCCTTTTCCTGCTGGTCCCCGCTTCTGCCACTTTCTGCGAGGGAGCAGGCTTTCTTATCAAGGAGACATTCATGCTGGCGATTCCAGCTTCAGGTCTTTTTATTTTCATCCTTTTTCTTTTTAGGCTTTTTGGGTCACAGCAATGCTCAGGGGTTCCTCCTGGCTCTGCACTCAGGAGTTACTCCTGGCGGTGCGTGGGGGACCAAATGGGATGCTGGGAATCGAACCCGGGTCGGCTGCGTGCACGGCAAAAACGCCCTACCCTGTGTTCATCCTTTTTCGTTCTTGCTAAAATTCTTTGCCTAGTTCTTGGGTGACTCCGTGTAATGCCCTTGTGTAATGCCCTTTCTTCTTCCCTACATGACGGTTCCGGCTTGTAACGCTGCTAACTCCTGCCTTTTATTGTTTGCTAGTGGGGCGGGGATCCTCCCAGCGCTGCTGGATTTGCCGGGGTTGGGGGGCGCCTGATGGCTGGGGCTGGGCGATTCATGCTGTGCTGCTTGGGGAAACAGCTTTCCCTATGTTGCCATCTCTTCCTGTGTACCCTCAACAAACTTTTCACCACCGATAGACTCACTGTGTGTACCAAAACTTTTGGTGTAGGACGGGAGAGCTAGCACAATGGGTAAGGCATGTACCTTGCATGTGGCTGACCCTTGTGTGGTCCCCCAAGCCCTGCAGGTATGATCCCTTAACACAACCTAAAAATGCCAAAAGAACACCTGCTCCCACCCCAAACACTGTGGTTGTAGCTTCCATAAGCAAGTGGACCTAAATGTGTCTCTCAAACCTTCTGAAGCACTCTGCCTGTAGCCTCCTGAAGAGAATACTCCAGGCCAGTGCACTTTCAGCTGAAATAATCTGTCTTATATTTGTTCTCCGGTTTTGAAATCCTATTGTACTTTGTTGTGTTTTATTTTTTTCCTTTATTATGGATTTTATTTTTGAATTTTTTGCATGTGGCCAGTTACTGTTTATTTTTTATTTTAATGAATCCTCGTGAGATACAGTTACAGACTTAAAAATTTTCGTGATTACATTTCAGTCAAACAATGTTCGAGTACCCATCCCTCCACCAGTGTCCATTCTCCCCCACCAATGTTCCCAGTGTCCCTCCCGCCTCCCCCATCCCTTCCCACCCCCCTTGCCTCTGTGGCAGACACATTCCCCCTTACTCACTCTCTCCTTTTGGGTGTTGTGGTTTGCAACATAGGCACTAAGCAGCCATCATGTTTGGTCGATAGCCTACTTTGAGCATGCATCTACCATCCCGAGTGATCCCTCCAACCATCATTTGCTTAGTGGTCTCTTCTCCATCCTACCTGTCTTTTCCCCCAGCATATGCGATCAGCTTCCAAGCCGTGGGACCACACTCCTGGCCTTTATCTCTACTCTCCTTAGGTGTTATTCTCTTATTTTGTTACTTGATATCCTGGCAAGCTCCCCGTGGCATATTCAGTATGCCAAAAACAGTAACAAGTCTCACAATGGAGATGTTACTGGTGCCCACTTGAGCAAATCGATGAACAGTGGGAGGATAGTGAAACAGTGATACATCCCACTAATGGGTGCAGTCATTCGGTGTCTGTCCCTTTTTTTCTGACTCATTTCGCTTAGCATGATGCTCTCCATGTTGATCCACTTATATGCAAATTTCATGGTTTCATCTCTTCTAACATCTACATAGTACTCTATTGTGTGTAGATATGCCAAAGTTTCTTTAACCGGTCATCTGTTCTTGGTCACTTTTTTTTTTTCCAGATTCTGGCTATTGTAAATAGTGCTGCAATAAGCATACATGTGCCCATGTCATTTCTACTGTTCAACCAGTGGCTTGTATATCCTTGATACTAACTCCTTGTCTGAGGGGTATTGGATGAGTATCCTTTCCCATTCTGTATACTGTCTTTGTATTTTAGTCACTGTTTCTCTTGGTGTAGAAGCTTGTTAGTTTAAGATAGTCCCATTTGTTTATCTCTGTTTCCAGTTGCTTGGTCAGTGGTGTTTCGTTCTTAAAGATACCTTTGCCTTCAGTGTCGTGGAGGGTTTTGTCGACCTTTTCTTCAATGTACCTGATGGATTCTGGTCTGATGTTTAGGTTTTTAATACATTTGATCTGATTTTTGTGCATGGTGTTAGGTAGAGGTCTGAGCCTATTATTTTGCGTGTAGTTATCCAGTTTTGCCAACACCATTTGTTAAAGAGGCTTTCCTTGCTCCACTTCACATTTCTTGCTCCCTTATCGAAGATTATATGATGATATACTTGAGGGTGTGTTTAAGGACATTCAACCCTCGTCCGCTGATCTGTGGATCTGCCTTTGTTCCAGTACCATGCTGTTTTCCTTACTACTACTTTGCAGTACAGTTTGAAGTTGTGAAACCCTGTTTTAATGATTCCTGGGCCAGAGAGATGGTACAGTAGCTAAGGCACCTGCCTGGCATGCTGCAGAACACAGAATTCTCAGCGTCACGCATGATTCTCCAGACTGCTGGGGGTCACGCCTGAGCAACATTGGGTGGGACGAAGCATCCCCCTGCTTCCCTCCCCTCCCAAAATTGTGATTCCTGACTCATCAGGCTCCCAAACCAGAACATCTAAAGACTGAGTTCTGTGTTCTCAAGCTGCTCTGTGGCCCTGTAGCACTGCCCTCCTGTTGTTCATCAGTTTGCTCAAGCGGGCACCAGTAACGTCTCAACAAGTTGTGAGACTTGTTGTTACTGTTTCTGGCATATTGAATATGTCCTGGGGAGCTTGCCAGGCCCTGCTGGATACTCTGGGTAGTCTGCTGGGCTCTTCGAGAGGGGTGGTATGAAGGTAGTGGAATGAATTGACTAAGACTACAGAGCCAGCGAGTTCAGTTAGTCTTGGGGGCCACACCTAGCTGTGTTCAGGGCTTACTCCTCTGCAGTCAGGAATCACACTTGCGAGTACTCAGGGGACCATATGGGATGCGGGGCTCAAACCTGGGTCAGCACGTGCAAGGCAAGTGCCCATCCCAGTGTCCTATTGCTCCAGCCCCAAGTGAGTCCAAACCCCTGGCCCTTAAGTTTGTTTGTGCATTTACAGGAATGTTGTTCACCCTTTCTGTCATTTCCCCGGAGATGGGGTTCTGTTCTGACCACACTAAATACACTGGCAAGAGCTTGGCCCCCTGGCACACAAGCGATACTCAGTATTATCAGTTCCATGTTTCCACTTGGTTCTGCCTGTAGTATTCACTGGACGAAAGTGGCAAGAGTGACAAAGTGTGCCAAGATGGGCAGATGGTCTCAGGTGACCAGTGTGTACTCTAAGAGGAAAAATTCAAGTTCCAGCCCGGCTCAGCCAGAGCAAATTTTTGATACCATATTCCTAACAACTACCCCCTCCCCCACACCCCCTCCCTCATGCCAGACTCAGCTCGACCAAACTTTTGATACCATGTTACTGACAATCACACACCCACATGTCTCCAGCACTCAAGCTCCTCTGTCATTGTCAATATGAAGAATAAAGTTCCCTTTTATTTTACATCTTGGTGCTTTCTCGTGGCTTTGAAGCTGTAGGCAAGGTGTCGCAGACTGGCATTTCAAGATGTTGGCATTGGCGTCTTCTCTCCCATCACTCTAACTAGTTCCTCACTCAGCCTGTCACTTCGTGTTAACCACTTGTCCAATCACTTTTTAACCCTGGGCAAACATTTCAGTGTCTCGGGGGATTTTTGAGGTCGCCATCATAACCAGCTAATTTTTGCCTGTCCTTTATTTGGCCCGAGATAGATCTCACCCCAAGAATGAGAAACCATACCTGGTGTGATTTTGTTAAAATTTTGCTTTCATTACCAAGTAAGGGACTTTGTCCAACTTCTTTTGCATCTTTGACCCTTTATATAGAGCTAGTCATAGGAGTTCAGCGTTAAAAAAAAAGGAGTAATGGGTTATTAGGATGTGATTTTGAATTTGAGGTGAGCAGCCAGTGTGTGCTGGCTGATTTCAGTGTTTTCTTCATTACCTTTCATTCCTGTTACATTGTAGGGATGTCCGAATGGTGTTTTTTTTTTTTTTTTTGCGTCACACCCGGCGATGCACAGGGGTTACTCCTGGCTCTACACTCAGGAATTACTCCTGGCAGTGCTCAGGGGACCCTATGGGATGTTGGGAATCGAACCTGGGTCGGCCACGTGCAAGGCAAACTCCCTACCCGCTGTGCTATTGCTCCAGCCCCACAGGGATGTACGAATGTTTAAAACAATTTTTTTTTCCTTTTGCAAATGTTGATTGATTTATTTAGTAGTGTAAGTTTTTTTCAGCATATTTTAGGCCCTCTTTTATCTGCCTTGGCCATTTATGACCCAGTAAAGAATTTATTAGGTAGGTTTAGAAAAATAAACCAAATTCTGTTTCCCCTCTCTATCTCTCTCCTATTTTGTTTTTTGGGTCAGTCCAGCTATAGTTAGGGATTATTACCAACTCTTTGCTCAGGAATCACTCCTGGCTCCTGGGTGGCTTGGGAGACCATTACGGGGTGCCAGGGAACAAAATAGGTCAGCCAGGTGTAAGACAGGCTCCTAACCTGCTGTACTCTCTTCTCACTATTCCATTTTTATCGTAGGTTGGTTGGTCAAAGCTCTATAAGCCACAATGACTTCAACAAGTAAAGCAATTGAATTGCAACTTCAAGTGAAACAAAATGCAGAAGAATTACAAGATTTTATGAGAGATTTAGAACATTGGGAAAAAGACATTAAGCAAAAGGATATGGAACTCAGAAGACAGAATGGGGTTCCTGAAGAGGTAAATGACGTCCCTGTGTTGCATTCGGCAGAGCTGCTCGTTTTTAAATAAAGCATGGTTCTTAAAGGGTTTTGTAAAATAGTAAGATTGAAGTGACTTGCTTCCTTGTCAACATTCCAGAAGTTTTATTTAAAAAGTTTTAAATGTGTATTTGTGGGATATTTAAAAAAAGTAGTATGAGAATAATATCCAAAGATATAGGAACAAGGGCCAGGAAGACCGGTCCCTGGTAGAATTTTGCCATAAGTCGTGGGGGAGGGCAGTTAGGCTAGAGAAGGGACCACAGTGACACTTGGGACGGGAACTGATTGCTGAAAGGAGGTAAAATGTTTATATATCATAACCTTTGAGCAACAGCGTTGCAGACCACAGTGCCTAAAAGAGGAGAGACACACAGGCACTCTCACATCCACATTCACACAGTCACCCATGGGGGCAGGGAAACTGGGACAGTGGTGGCAGGATTTGTACACTGGTGAAGGGACAGGTCTTGATTGGGGCCTTGTCTGACCGAAACCCAATCATGAACAACTTTGTAACTTTGTAACATGGTGATTGAATTTTAAAAAGTGTCAAATGTTTTAGTGTATTAAGACTTTTTAGGAGTCATAAGTTGCTAATAGACTGATAATTCTCACGGGGTAAATAGCTTAAAATATGGATTGTATAAGTAGTATGTATCAAATAATTATGTATATTGAATGCCATTAATGTACTGTATTGTATAAAAATGTAACTAGCTCCTACTGTCATTCTGATGGGCATTTAACTCTAAGAAAGAACAGAGTCATGCCATTTGCAGCACCCGGGTGGATCTAGAAGACATGATGCTGCGTGAAGTCGGAAGGAAAGAGGGAGGGACAGAAAGGTGGTACCGGAAGTGAGGAGTGTGCCTTGCATGGATTCAGCAACCTGGCACCACATATGGTCCCTCGAGCTCGCCACAGGCGATCCCTGAGCACCACAGAGTATGGCCCCAAAACCTAAAGAGAAACAAGAAAAACGAAAAAAGCAAAACAAAAAAAGGAACGTTAGATACAGAATGATCTCTCTCATAGGTGAGCTTAAAGCTACATGGCAGGGGGGAGCGGACCGCACGACTCCTCTGGGTTATGGTCCCCAGGACCTGCTGGGAGTCACCCCTGAGTGCAGAGCCAGGAGTAAAACCTCAGCGCTGCTGGTGTGGCTCAAAATGGGGGCGAAAAAGCGAGGTAGCAACCAAGGGCTGAAGGTAGCCAAGGGGGAGCTGACCTACACAGTTGAGTGACGGAGCGTGGGCTTGGGAGGGAGGCGTATCCTGGGATGAGTGTAATGTTGAATTATGTTCATGGGAGGCCATCGTCGTTATGAATCACGGATCTCATATATATGTAAAGTAGAAATGGTTCTTAAAAAGAGCACCTCAATGACTAAATTTTCTTGCTGTACTTAATGATAAGAGCCAGTTCGATAGTAATACTGATAATTCATGGGGTCTTTCTTGGGGGTGGGGGGAAGTGCACTTTAGGACCACAACCTGCAGTGCTCAGATCTGGCTCTGCTCAGGGAAAGCTCCTGGCAGGGCGCGGGGGACCAGATAGGATGCCAGGGATTGAATCCAGTTTGGCTCCATGCAAAGCAAGAGCTGTACCTGCTGTACCATCTGGTTCTGAGAAGGGATTTTTCAGAAGATTGTGTTTAGGATTACAAATTAAATGTATGTTTAATTTTTTTTGACTGAATGATGTTCAGCATTCATCAAAGGGAGTGTTAAATCTCTCCAGTGTACATTATTAATGAAGATTATAATTTGGTGCTTGTAAGCATCTAAAATCTACTTTACTTGAATATATAATTTGATGTGATTTGTAACATTAGTTACATAAAAAGTAATGTGCAAAAAAAAAGCGATGCGTAAATCCAGTTTTTTTCTCTTTAGAAATTACCACCTATTCGAAATGGGAATTTCAGGAAAAAGAAGAAAGGCAAAGCGAAACAGTCTTCTAAAACAACTAAAGATGAAAACGCAAAAAACAGAATAAAGTCCTATGATTATGAGGCTTGGGCCAAATTCGATGTGGTAAGTTCATCTAACTGCTACTTTTGGAGAGAGGTGGTGTCAGGGGAGAGCTTCCCTAGCACTGCTGGGGGCTTGAGGGGGCCACTTTCCTAGTGGTTCTGTTCTGTGCTGGGGGTCAGGGTTCTTCATGGCCACAATCGGCAGTGCCAGGGGAGAACATTTAGTGCCCGGGATTGAACTCGGGGCCTCGTGTGTGCGTGGAGGCATGTTTTCCACTCGTGGTCTGTCTCCCCAACCTCATAAATGCTTCTTAACATCTGAGCAAGATCTTTTTTGGGCTTAAGTCATGAAAGAAACATAATGACCTCTTTAGATTATTTAAATTTAAAAAAAAATTGGAGCTACACCTAGCAGTGCTCAGGGGATCCTGTGGTACCCTGGAGCCAATCTGTACCCCCCACAAATGATTAGTTCAACCTGTTAAGCTCTTTCTTCGGCCCAGACTATTTTTTTTCACTTTGTAAAAATCAAAAAAGTTGCTCATAATTGAGTTTCAGTCAAACAGTGTTCAGAATCCCTCCCTCCCTCAACGTCCATTGCCCACCACCAGTGTCCCGAGTTTTCCTCCTGCCTCTATGACAGACATTCCCCAGTATCTCTCCCCCCACCCCTCCCCCTTTTTTCCCTTTAGGCACTGTGGTTTTCAAGAAATACTGTTATTGAAAGGGTATCCTGTGTATTGCTTTGTCTCCTTTCAGCACTGACTTCCTGTGTGATCCTTTCCAGTTATCGTTGTCAGAGAATGTCCCCTCTGTCTCCTCTGTCATAACTGCTCTTCCCCTAACCCCCAACCTGTGGAAAGCTTCTCACCATGGACCAGTCCTCCTGGCCATTTCTGTTGTCTTTGGGCATTGTTCTCATACTCTGTTATGTTCCACGAATGAGTGCAGTCATTCTCCATCTGTCCTTTTCCCTCTGACTTGTTTCACTCAGCATGATACTCTCCATGTCCATCCATGTATAAGTAAATTTCATGACTTTGTCTTCTCCTCACGACTGTGTAGTATTCCACTGTGTAGACGTACCATAGTTTCTTCATCCATTCAACTCTTCTCAGACACTTGGGTTCTTTCCAGATTCTGGCTATTGTGAATATAGGAGTGCAGGTGACTTCTGCATTTTTTTGGGGGGGGCGCCTTTTTTCCCTGTATCTACGGCATCACTGGTTGTTCTTGTTCTTTTTGGTGTGTGCCAGTCTCTGTGGTGTGGGTGATATCTCATTGTTTTGATTTGCATCTGCCTGGTAATTAGTCACGTAGACCATTTTTTCATGTGCCTTTTGGCCATTTTTCTTTTTTGAGGTCTTTGTTCATCTCTTCTTCCCATTTTTTGATGGAGTCAGGTGCTTTTTCTTGTAAAGCTCTACCAGTGCCTTATATATGTTGGATACCGACCCTATATCCGATGAGTGTTGGGTAAATAATTTTTCCAGCACAGACTATTTTATGAAGAGTAAAGGTTTAGTGGCATGATTAACAGTGACTAAAATGTTAAGATTTTCACTTTTTTCTCACTTTCCACCCATAATAGTATATGGAGGTTCAGGGTCCTGTCCTTTCAGTTTCCTCCTATAGTTTATTTTATCTTCACTGCAGTGCAATATCAAACCTAGGAACCTGCATGGGTACGAGAGTTCTATACCATTTTATCATGGATAGATCGGGATGAGCCTTGCGATTCACACTGTGTCACTGTCATCCCGTTGTTCACTGATTTCCTCGAGCAGGAGCCAGTAATGTCTCCATTCGTCCTACCCCTGAGATTTTAGCAAGTGTCACATTGGAGGCTCTTTCAGGGTCAGGGGAATGAGACCCACATTACTGGGTTTTGGCATGTCGAATATGCCATGGGGACCTTGCTAGACCCTGCCGTGCGGGCAGGATACTCTCAGTAGCCTGCCTGGTTCTCCGAGAGCGAGAACTAGACTAGAGGTCGTGTGGCCACAAATGCAGCCGTGCACTTCCGGGAGCTTGGTTTTATAGTCCCTGGGTCTTGGCCATTGATGGGATTACACAGCACTGGGGGGCAGTTGGTGGGTGTAAAGCCTACCTACTAGAAGATGGGGGATCTGTGGAGGTGACCCTGTCCCGATCCTAGCAGGCTTGGAGGTCTCAGCCCCGGGTACTGCACACCTTGCGGTTAAGATGCAGAAATAACACACTGCAAAGATCTCTGCTTTGTGCTACACTTTAGTTATTGAACCCTCTTCTTCCCACCTACTAACAGCTGGGTGTTTTCAGAGTGTAATATTCCCAGGAAGGAATTGGTCCAGAGAATAGTACACAGGTTAATGCTTTTTCTCTGCATCCTGACTACTGTGGTTTGAATCCTCGGCACCATCTATGGTCACTGAGCACCACAAGGAATTCCTTCTAAGCACAAAGCCAGGAGTAGCTCCTTAAAACCACTGGGTGTATCCCCTTGTACCCCTCCAAGCCAAAGAAAAGGACTGCTGGTACCCTTTTTTGTATATATAAATGGAACGGTTTGTTGGAGAAGAAAATAAGTTTCTGTTTTCTCTTTGGGCTAGGGCTGTACGACAATAGAAGCAGTTGTGTCTTGATCCTGGGAAGGTGGGCTTCTAGATCACGGGTTGCAAATGTGGTAGGTACAAGCCTTCCCTCACTTGGAAGTGGAGGATGAACTGTTGCCAGCACCCCGCCCTCACTGCCCCAGGCAGCCACTAGCCAGTCTGCCTGTGAAAGGGAAACTTTGGGCAGTTTTATTTGGGGCTGATCTACATTAATAGTTGAGTTAGAACGGACGCTTCTTTTTAGTCTTTTTAAAGTATTGTGGGCTGGAGCGAAGAGCTTGGGGGCAAGTTGCTTGCCTTCATGCAGCCGATGCGCTTTCAGCTCAGTCCTGACACTGCCTGGCCCCCAGGCACCACTGCGGTGACCCCTAAACTCAGAGGAGAAGTAACACCCAAACACTGCCCTGTCTCATTCTCTCCTGTCCAGTTAAAAGCAAAGTCAGATGTGGGCAACTTTATCTTTAAAAACAGTGTTTTTCATGCGGACTAGAGATTGCTCAGCAGGCTGAAGGCGCAGTTATACTGCAGTTATACTCAGTCCTTGGCTCCGCATAGTTCCCCCAAGCTCTGCTCGGAGTGACCCCCAATCCACTGCAGCAGGAGGAGCCGCTGAGCACTGCTGGATGTGACCCAGAATCTTTTCAAAGGTGCTGTGTAATATCAGACTCAAGCTAAAAATGCGTGGGGATCATATGCCAAGTAAGACTTAGGACAGTGATCGTGCAGATTTGCTGTCTCTCGTCCCCCGCCGTGAGAACCGCCTGTGCTCACACTCGGCGCCGTCTGCATTGCTCATCGCCCAGGGCTGATTGCTGCTTGCATTTTTATTTCTGCGTTCATTGATATTTTTCTTTTATAAAATAAAACCATCTTATATGGGCTATGTGACAGAAAAGAGAGGGCGTGAGTGAGGGAGAGGAGGGAGTGCAGGAGAAAGAATCCCTCCTTGAGTTGGGGTGTGGCCCTCCAGAGTGGAGCACGCTGATGTTGTTACTTCTCTGCACCTTCCTGGTTTCTGTTTAACCCCCCCTTTTTTTAATGGCCCAGCATACATATAATAAAGTCAAAAAGTCTTAAGCTTGCAGCTTCATGAATTTTCACTTTCACATCTGAGAAACACCATCCATACCAAGATATAGAACATTTGCAGGATCTTAGATGTTTTCCTTTTCAGTAAACTACCTCAAGGATATGACTGTTGTAATCTCAAATATTAGATATCTCTTTTGGGACCAGTTTTGGAATTTCATATGAGTGGATCATTTATTATGTACCTCCGTATTTGACGTTTCCTACTCTAACATTGAGATTTGTCCATATTGGCAGAGGCAATAATGTTACTCCTGGCACCCATTTTTAAATTTTTGGCTGTTGGAATAAACAGTTTCGTACATGGTGTTTTGATGAAGGAAGCACCTGGAGGGGATTTTCAGAGTCATATTTTATATATGCAGAAGCTCTGTAAGATCCTGCCAGTTTTCCAAGGTAGTGGTATTTTTCATTTTTCTTTTACTGGTTTTTGGGCCATACCTAGCTGTGGGGCTTGAGCGATAGCACAGCGAGTAGGGCGTTTGCGTTGAACGCGGCCCACTCGGCTGACCCAGGTTCGATTCCTCCGCCCCTCTCAGAGAGCCCGGCAAGCTACCGAGAGTATCTCGCTCGCAGGGCAAAGCCTGGCAAGCTGCCCGTGGCGTATTCGACATGCCAAACACAGTAACAACAAGTTTCACAATGGGGACGTTACTGGGCCTGCTCGAGCAAATCGATGAACAACAGGACAGTGCTACAGTGCTACCTCGCTGTGATGAGGGCTTCCTCCTGGCTCTGTTCGCAGGATTATGCCAGGCAGTGCTGGGGTGCGAGGTGAGTCCAGTCTGCAGTGCCAGGATTACCCCTTAGTTGGTCCTGTGCAAAGTGGGTACCTGCCCTCTGGATTCTCTCTGACCCCGTTGTATTTTTCTTATTGAATCAAGACCAATCAACTGTATGAGGGAGTTGGCAGTTATTTAAATAGTCCCCATCTACTTTAGTATGATTCCAGTATTAGAGAAGTAAATTTTTGGTTTTGAATGAATTTCTCTGGAAATCAATTCAGAACATACCATTTTTAGTATGAATCATCTAGTCTGCTTTCAGTGTTTGTGTCTTTTCCTTGTCAGAGGTTAGTATCTTCTTATAATACTCCTTAGTGAAAATTATCATCTAAGATGATTTCTTAGATGTTTTCTCTATAGCTGTCAATTCATTCAACACATAGTGATCATGACACGTTGTGTGGCCAGTGTCATGGCTGCCGTGGTTGCTAAAGTCATTTCCGTTATCCTTTAAGATACTGATATTTCCTTCAGATGTTCAAATCTGAGCAACTGCTTTATTGACGTACGGTCGTGAGTTTTCATATATGTCAGCACAGTAGGGTTGGACAAATGTGGATTTAAAGTGGTAGGCTGTTGGTATGTTTATAGTCGTCCCCCTAAACGCATAGTTAAATTTCAGTCCATCTTTTAATGTTAATTCAGTGAGTCAAGCAGATTTTATTGTACCCTTTTTTACTTACAATAAGTAATTAAAATGATGTTATTAAATGCAAGCAATTGTTTATATAAGGATCAGGGTTTTTGTTTAGATAAGGAGCTGTGTTCCTCAAGAAGACGTAAGATCAAGGATAATGTTTGTGGCTAGAGAGATAGTACAGTGGGTCTGGTGCTTGCCTAGCATGTGACTGACCTGGGTTGGAGCCCCACCATTGCATATCGTCCGCAAGTGTGACCAGGAATGATCCCAGATCACCAAGCCAAAAGAAGCCCTGAGCAGCGCAGGGAGTGTCCCAGAAACTAAATCTTTTTTTTTTTTCACATTTATAAAAGCACTGTAGCATGGCAGCACTGTCCTCCCGTTGTTCATTGATTTGCTCGAGTTGGCCCAGTAACGTCTCCCATCGTGAGACTTGTTACTATGTTTGGCATACTGAATACGTCACGGGGTGAGATACTCTCGGTTGCTTGCCGGGCTCTCCAAGAGGGGCAGAGGAATCGAACCCGGCTTAGCCGGGCCGGCTGTGCGCAAGGCAAATGCCCTACCCGCTGTGCTATCGCTCCAGCCCATTTTAATATGATACAAGTTTATTATTATTGTTATTTAAGTTTTTGGGCTTACCCCTGGCTCTGCACTGAGGGATCACTGCCGAAGAGACTTGGGCCATCGTATGTGGGATCAAACCTGGTTTGGAACATGCCAGGGAAGCACCTTACCTGCTGTACTATCTCTTCGAGCCCACAAGAGGGATTTTTAATAGCAGAAGAGCAAGGAGAAAGAAAGGGTGGGTTGCAAACAGGTGGGTTCTAGAACAATGCATTTCTTGTAGGCTGGCTGCTTGAGGCACACATCTCAAGGTCTAGGCATCCTTGAGTCCTGGCAGTCAGGGTCCTCCGATAAGCCCTCAGGTATTTCTCTTATCACATCTATAAGCCTAAACAAAGTAGGACAAAATGAGGGACACTGTCCTCAGCTTTAGACTGTAGGGAACAGAATAGTGAATTAGGGACCCATATGTAGGAGTTTGCTGTTGCTAATTTCTTGGTAGGTTTTGATTCTCCTCCACATTCTAATGTGTGGGAGTTTCCTTCCCACAGTATCAAACTTGGTGTTCTCTAGTTCAGCCCAGTCCTGATCCTGTCTACCCAGAGGTGGCCTCAGATTCCCGAGTTTGAAGCCTCTGCCCAAAGATCTCCCTCCGTGTGCCATGTTGATTGCGCCTGCAGCTTGGGGCGCCCTTCCCAGGGCATCTGCTAATGGCACCTGCAGCCCGTCAGTGTCAGGATTTCTTCTCAGTTGAGGTTATTTGCTAGAGCAGCTCACGGACTGAGTTCTGTGTTTATTCCAAAGAGCATCGCTTGAGGTGGGTGGGGAGAGAGATGTTGATGGAGGGGCACTGGCCCAGGTGATGGCTTTGGGTTAGAACTTTGGATGCCTTAGACTCTGTTATCACAGCTAGGTAAATCACGGTGCCTAAGTTAAGAGGGTCTTTCTTTCTTTTATGAGGATAACTCATAAGAAGCCAGCTAGAGGCGTGCCACTGGGCAGGGCATGGAAAAAGGTCAAGGGATTTCCATGCTGTCTCAGCACTCCAGTCTCCCCTCTCCTGAGCCAACCTGGAAGCTTCCTGAATCTTACCCTTTCCAGAAGTAATGGAGGCCTGGGACTGGAGCCATAGTCCAGCGGGGAGGGCGCTTGCCTTCCACCCGACTGACCTGGGTTTGATCTGCGGCGTCACAGATGGTCCCCCACGCCTGCCAGGATGGATCTCTGAGCACAGAACCAGGATTAGTCCTGAGTATAAGCTGGGTGTGTCCTCAAAAAAAAAATCACTGAGCTGAGTGGTATATGGAGACCTCTTTCCATAGGTGCAGTTGATTAAATCACTGACTCAAGCATTTGATTCTGATGATTAGAGAGATGGGACTTAAGGTTCCAGTTCTGACAACTAGCTGCCTGTCTTAGGTACTGTCTCAGGGTCATTTTCTCCAATATAACAAAAGACACCTTTTGTTCTCATCAGGAAATTCCAAGGGTTTTAGGAACTCTACAAGAAAGGAATCGAAGACCAAAACCACTTTTTCTTATCAATCACAGTATCAGCTGATCACTCAGCACCTCTAGTATTAGACAGTTCCTTGTAATCGTTCATATCCAGCCCACCAATTGTAGTTCCAAGGTCACGGTAACTAGCGCCTATCCCAGCAACTCAGGCACAGGATGGAAAGCAGCCCTGCACCAAATGCCCGTGTTGCTGGGTGCTCTGATACTCTGCTCTTGTTGGGACCACTGCGTATGGGTAGGGTATGGACGGAAGCCAGAATGGCTAGAGGAAACCCAGGCGGATGTGGGGAGGAACTCCAACATTCCACACTGACCGCAATCAGTTTTCATTTTCCCCTTCCCTCTGGTTATGATGTCGACCAGGAATCGCGCGTTTGGGTGTGGTGCTTGTCCTGTTGTTTGTGGTGCGGTGGGCGCTGCACAGCTAGCCGCGACCCTCATGCTTGGCTGCCGTGCTTGTGTGGCCTGCACCGCTCCCTGTGGCCCTCACACACTCGACTGAGGGGTTTGCTGGGTGTCAGTTCCCTCAGTTGTGCACACTCTTGGTGGTGAGCATGGACGGGCTTCCTGGGGGCCACTCCTGGCTGTGGGTGCTTCGCAGGCTTCAGTTTCGCGCGGCTGTGGGCGCCAAACCGCAGAGCCACCAGGACAGCACCAGCCCGGACACGTGGCCTGGTCTTGCCAGACTGGCACTCAGTCACTCAGAACCATCCTTTGGACCTCAGTTTTTTGTGTGTTTTCATTCGTTAGTGTTCTGTTGAATTAACACATTCCAGGACCATCTCTCCTTTTTTGTTTGAGTTTGTCTTTATTTTTTAAGTCGTCTGATGATGGGCATGATTCTTGTGATTGCAGGACAGTGTTCTGGATGAGCTTGACAAAGAAGACAGTACTCGTGATTCTGTGTCTCCAGAATCAGAGTCAGAAGAAGATGGAATTCACGTAGACTCACAAAAGGCTCTTGCTTTAAAAGAAAAGGTATTCTCTAGGTTGCTTTGTTTTCCTTCAGAGGCGAAAGCTGTGTAAAACGTGGATCCCAAGATTTCTTTCTTCAAAACCATCCAGGGTCTGGTAGGCAGCAGGATGGCTCAGTGGCTGGGGGATGGGACCTGGTATGGGAAAAGGCTTTTGGGTCACTTGTGCCTTTTCTTTCTCCGGTTGTAAAATAAGCCCAATTTTATTATTAAATCTCAGTGGATTATGACCTTAAAGTGAACATTAAGAAATACATAAGTGAATATTAGTGCATGAAGTGCTTAGGACTTAGAAAATTATTCAGGACGATTAGTAGTGGACTGAAGTTAACTTAAAATTGGCGTTTGAGCTCTGTCATGAATATTATGTTTCAGTCCCCTATTTTATAGTTCATCTTCGGTTGGGTTTTGGAAGAGTCTCCCTGAGGGATGTCTGATTGTTTATTAAACTAGTCATTTTGCCTTTCAAAATGGTGGAAATCTCTTGGATTAAACTTTCTTTTATAACTTTCTTTGACTAAACAGTAAGCTGTTACTGTCAGTGACGAGTTTATCAAGCTGAGTATTTCATTTTTGGGCCAGTGGCTCCTTTAGGTTGTACCCAAGAAATGATTATCTAAAGAGTTTAAGCTCTTGTAAAATGATGATTTTGCTTAGTTTTCTTTCTTGTTAGCCTTGATCAGACAGCCAGTGAGTTAGAGAAGCATGACACTGAAGAAAAGAACCCTGGAATTTTGTGCCGCTATGTAACTGACTTGTGCTTTTTATAGGGCAATAAATACTTCAAACAAGGAAAATATGATGATGCCATTGAATGCTACACCAAAGGCATGCACGCGGATCCTTATAATCCTGTGTTACCAACAAACAGAGCATCCGCATACTGTAGATTGAAAAAGTAAGGAGCTTTCCACACTGTGTGAATGTATTTTTATATATATTTTGTCACACCTTGTGGTAGGCTTACTCCTGGCTCTGCACACGAGAATCAGTCCTGGTGGGCTCAGGAGACCATATGGGATGCTGGGGATCGAACCTGGGTCAGTCATATGCAAGGCAAGCCCCCTACCTGCTAAACTATCACTCTGTCTTCAATGTTTTGTGTGTATGTACATTTTTGAAGAGAATTTTATGTGATTTTTATGGGAGAGACGGAAAATTACTTTTTTTAACTCTATAAATTCTTCGAAAGCCATTTGGAGCATTTATGTGCTCAAACCACTCCCTGTGATTCACTTTACTGAGGTTTTCCTCTGAAAATTGAGTCATTATGTTGAGTAATTCACACACTGAAATGCTAGTGGATAAAATTTTCAGCAGTTTATTTCCTTCCATTTTGAAAAGTCATTTCACAACTTAACCTACATTTTACTATTTAACTTTCATATAGTAAAATATATCCCAACCTTCACTGTCTCACTGTCATCCTGTTGTTCATCAGTTTGCTCGAGCAGGTGCCAGTAATGTCTCCATTTGTCCCAGCCCTGAGATTTTAGCAGCCTCTCTTTACTCGTCTTTTCCCAACGTATTGGAGGCTCTTTCGGGGTCAGGGGAATGAGACATGTCATTGTTACTGTTTTTGGCATATTGAATATGCCACGGGGAGCTTGCCAGACTCTTGCAAGTGGGATACTCTCGGTAGCTTGCCAGGCTCTCTCTCTATATGTATAATTCCCTCTATGATTTGTTGCCTACTGTCTGAACCCCATCAACTGTGCGGTCATTATGGAAAATGGGTAGGCAGTGTCTTAGGATGTGTCCACGAATATGTTCACTCATGTGTGAGGCTCAGCCCAAGTGTGTGGAAAGCGGCCTGGCGCGTGGTGGCAGTTGGGTAGTGGAGGTCGGCTGCCGGGGCTGAGTCCCTTGGGGCGGGGAGGGCTCTCATTTGGCCCCCTCTGGGATGCCCCAAGTGAAAACAGGCTCACGCAGAGTTCAGTAGCATGGTTATGGGGGCATTCCAACTTTAAAGAATAAAAAAAACCTCTAAGTTGAAAAACATGATAGTATAATTGGGATACTGTGATGGCATTTAAAAAAAGACTGATGTTCTTGGGGCAAGAGAGACAGCGGAATAGACTGAGTGCGTTTCTTGCATGGGGATGGCCTACCTGGCTTCAGCCCTTGGAGGGAAATGGTACCTTGGACGACTGCTGGGGGTTGTCAGTGAGCAAAGAGCTAGAAATAGCCCCTGAGCACTGCTGGTCGTGAACCTCCTTCCCCACACCTACCCCAATCCCCCAAAAACAAGAAAGGAAAAGAACAGCAACAAAATACAGTCTTGCTTATTTTTTATTTTGTTTTTGGAGGCATGCCCACTAGTTCATGCTATGCCTCGGATCTACCCAGGGCAAAAACATGTGCTCAGTCTTTCGAGTTGGCTCTCCGGCCCCTACGTTAGATTTTCGTTACTGTTGGTCCACACCTACTGCTGCTGGGCTGTTGGGGCTCTGTGCTCAGGAGGGACTGCTGGCAGCGGGTAGGACTGTATGTGGTGCTGGGGACTGAACTGGAATCCTCAGCATGCAAGGCAAAGAAATGCCTTCCCTCCTGTATCATTTCTCACCTCTAATCCCTCTATTTTATTTCTTACCTGGAAACATGAATCGTGTTGGTATCAGAATTTTTACTATTTGGATCATGTTTTTCTAGGTCTTTGAAATCTATGATATCCTTACCTTTTAAAACATTTGATAGCTGTGACGTAGCAGACAGTTACAAGGAATGATTTTAAGTCTGAATCCATCACGCAGTTTAAGAGTTTGAACATTATGGACCGTACCCATTGGTGTAGGGAGCAACGTTGAGCTGTGCTAAGGGATCAGGCCACGTCAGGGATGGAATTGGAGTTGGCTGCGTACAAGACAAGCACTTTAATCCCGTACCAGCTCTCTGTTGAGCATTACTGCCATTTTTATCTTGTTTGTTTTGGGGCCACCTCTGCTGGTGCTCAGGGCTCGCTCCTGGCTCTGTACTCAGGGCTCACTCTGGCTCTGTGCTCTGGGATCACTCCTGGTTGCTCAGGGCTGTGTATAAGGCAGGTGGGTGCCCTACTGCCTTTTCTCTCTCTCACCCCTGAACATTCATATTTTCCAAGTTCACCTCAGTATTCCCTTTCCTATTCTGATCCTTGCATCCCACTCTCGGGTAACCGCCAGTTTGTATATTTCATTCTTTGGTTTAAAGAAAAAGTGTGTTTCTCTAAATAATGTGTTGTATCGCTTTGCTTTCTTTTGCTCTTTCTCCCAGCAGCCTGAGCACATGCTTTTTCACGCCAGCAGGGGTTTGATTCCCCAGCGTTGCATAGCCTGAGTGCTGTGGGTATTGCCAAAAGTCACGAACGTCATCTTCTGTGACTTGCCGATTTGAGTGTTAATTCTAAGAGACAGATATGTCTCAAATACAGTGGTATGGTAGGTCTTTCATTTTCAGAGCTGCTTCCACTGTCTTCTTTTGCTGCTGGTGGTCTGTTTCTGTTTGGGGGCTGTTCCTAGCTCTGTGCTGCTGGGAACTGAGTCTGGGCCTGCTGCACACAGATGCACTTCCTGCCTCTCGAGCTGTCTCTTCAGCGCTAGATAACTCCTTTTCAGAAGCATACCGTTGTGTGTTCATCCTCCTGTTGGCTGGATTGGTCCTTAGTTCCTTGGCCTCCTGCCCCCCACCCTTCCCTTCCTCCCTGCATACTTGAGACCCACGTTTCCTTTCTGTTTTGAAACTGTGGTGCTATGAGTATTTTTGGACATGTTTCTTTTGTGCTGTTTTGCAGCCTAAGCATATATATTTTCCTTTAAAGCTTGCTTGTTTTTTGGTATTGGATCAGGCCCGGGGGTTACTGCTAGGGTAATCAGGGGACCACATGCAGGTGCGGATTGAACCGGGCATACAGGCAAACCCCTTAACCCCGGCACTGTTTTCATCCTCAGTTGGGGGCTTGTGGGCCAAACTCAGTGGTACTCAGGACTTACTCTGCCTCTGTACTTGGGAATTATTCTGGCCATCTTTGGGACCATATGTGGATCCAGACTCGTACCTGTTTGGCCGTGTGCAAGGCAAAACCACCTTACCTGCTCTAGTATCTTTTTTTTTTTTTTTTGCTTTTTGGGTCACGCCCAGTGATGCACAGGGGATACTCCTGGCTCTGCACTCAGGAATTCCCCCTGGTGGTGCTCAGGGGACCCTATGGGATGCTGGGAATCGAGCCTGGGTTGGCCACGTGCAAGGCAAACGCCCTACCTGCTGTGCTATCGCTCCAGCCCTACCTCCTCTAGTATCTTAAGAGCAATGTTAATGAGCATTCTTATTCCTCTCTTAGAGAGAATGCTGCTAGAATTTAGCCATCAAGATTTACTGTTCTTAGTAGGATTAACTGAATAAAAGGAGGTTGGAAACAAACTTTCAATGGAACTTTCATTTGGGAAGTTAATTCCCTTTACAGGAATTTCTGAAGCAAATTTTAAAATCTTGGTTTAATGATATTTCTATTCGCCTCTTTTTTTAAATTTCAGATTTGCTGTTGCTGAGTCTGATTGTAATTTAGCAATTGCCTTGAATAGAGATTATACAAAGGCTTATGCCAGACGAGGTGCTGCTCGCTTTGCTTTGCAAAAATTAGAGGATGCCAAAACAGGTATTATATTTTACAGGTCATATTATCTGACAGTTTCGAACTTTCAATGAAATCGGTTGATTTAACAGATGCAAATAATACTAGATAGCCATAGTTACTGTATTTGTGTTTGTTTTGGGGCCATCCCCAGCAGTGCTCAGGGCCTACTCCTAGCTAGTGCTCTGGGGTCACTCCTGGGCAGGGATTGGGAAACCACGTGGGGTGCTGGAGATTGAAACTGGTTTTGCTACGTGCAAAGCCAGCACCTTTCCTGCTGTACTATCCCTTTGGCCCCATAGTCACTATCTAAAGTGCTCTTAGGGTTCTAAAGATGCTTGTTTTGCCATTTGTGTTGTTTGTTTGTTTGGGGGCTGCACTCCGCAGTGCTCAGGGCTTACTCCTGACTCTGCGCTCAGAGCTCACTTTTGGTGATGCTCGGGGGACCACATGGGAGCCCGGGATCAGACCTGGGGCAGGCACACTACCTACTGTCCTATTGCTCCAGCCCATTTTTTGTCATTTAAATGGGATTTTGATGTTTGGGAACAGGACACATTGTTTGACACCAATCAGAATTTGTTTCAAATAGTCATTTTACCGTGTATTAGCTGTATGACCAGGAGAAAGTTACATTTCTTCTCTGATTTTTAGTTTCCCATGTGAAAATAGGTAGTAGAACATTCTCTGCCCCCACCTACAAAGCTCTTAACGCTTTTTTATTTGTAAATTCTGAACCCTTTCACAGGTAAAATGGGGTCGTGTTAATGTATGCTACAGAATCCAAGTAAAGCTGTTATCCGGTAGGATTCTGCTGCTTCTTGGCTTTTATAAAATACAGCTTTGATATATACATTTTTTTTTGGTTCAGGGGGACAACTCCCCGAACTCCAGGTGATGCTCAGTGATTACTTCTGTTTTGCACTCAGGAGTCCCGTCAATGCTCAGAGGGCCGTATCGGATGTTGGGAATCAAACCCAGATCAGCTCTGTGCAAAGCAAGTGCCTTCTAAGCCACTACTGCTTCTCATCCCAATAACATACAACTTTTAGGGGCTGGAGCCATGGTACAGAGGGTAGGGCGTTTGCCTTGCACGCGGCGGACCCGGGTTCGATTCCCAGCATCCCATGTGGTCCCCTGAGCACCGCCAGGGGTGATTCCTGAGTGCAGAGCCAGGAGTAATCCCTGTGCATTCCAGGTGTGACCCAAAAACGAAACAAAAAAAAAAACCACGACTTTTTTAAAAAAAATTTTTATTAGTGAAACACCGTGAGGTTCAGTTGTAGATTTACAAATTTTTGGGCTTGGATTTTGATTATACAATGATCAAACACCCATCCCTCCACCAGTGCCCATTTTCCACCACCATGGGTCCCAGTATCTCTCTCACCCCCATCCCCCCATCCCACCCTGCCTCTGTAGCAGGGTATACCCTTTTGTTCTCTCTCTCCTTTTGGGTGTTGTGGTTTGCAAAAGAGGCATTGGCTGGGAATCGAAAATCATACAACTTTTAAAAGCCACTATCCTTTCTGGGGCTGGTGGGAGAAGGTAGGTTTGGTCTGTTTTGGGGGAAAAATGTAGAAAGTTCAGTAGGTCTGTCAATGTTCCCTAGTTTCTTTTTATTTTATCATGGTTCATTTGACCTCTTGTCACATGTAGCAAGTGATGTGTTTTTTTTTTTATATCCTATGTCTTTCAAAAATTGTTCATCTTCTTTTTACTAAGATTATGAAAAAGTTTTAGAACTGGAACCAAATAACTTTGAAGCAACGAATGAACTGAGGAAAATTAATCAGGTAATTTTAAAAACTTGTTATATAATTCAAGTGAATTTCTTACTAACTTTATTGGATGATGCCTTTTGACAGACTTCATAGATCCCTCGTAAAGACTTTCCCCCTAGTTTTAATACATTTTATATAGAGTTTTAGACTTAGAGATAGAATGATGGTACTTTTAATCATCTTAAAAAATGGGTTTTTTTTTTTTTTTGCTTTTTTTGGTTCACACCTGGCGGTGCTCAGGGGACTGTATGGGATGCTGGGAATCGAACCCGGATCGGCTGCATGCAAGGCAAACGCTCTACCCGCTGTGCTATCTCTTCAGCCCCCCCAGAATGGTATTTTTGATCATCTTGAAACATGGTAGTTCAATGGTTTTAAACATCTTTCATCTTTTTTTTGGGGGGGGGGCTGTCACACCCGGCGATGCACAGGGGTTACTCCTGGCTTTGCACTAAGGAATTGCTCCTGGTGGTGCTTGGGGGACCACATAGGATGCTGGGAATCGAACCCGGGTCGGCTGCATGCAAGGCAAATGCCCTGCCCACTATACTATCAGTCCAGCCCATCTTTCATCATCTTAAAAACTTAATCTGAGATTTTTAGATCTATTGCCGTAGATGACAGAATTATTTTGGGTATTCCACTGATTTTTCTTTAATGCCTTGTAAATTGGTTTCTATAGTAAACTTATGCATATCTCTTTGATTCTGCAATTTTTAAGTTGCCCCATCTTTATATGTTATACCTTAGCAAGAATGATACTAATTTCTTAACAATAAGAAGATAGTGACTATTTAACTATAACATTTGTTTGTCAGATGATTTAGTTCCATATTCCTTTCATTTTGCATTAAATTGAAATTGTATGCTATTGGTTAAAACTTTGAGAAAAAAACAATGATTGGGGAAAATCTGCTTTTCCCCAATAAGTAATATTGCCCTTACTTATTGCACATAAAATCTGTTAGAAAACATTTAATTTGATTATGATCGTAAACTGTGTTGTATATCTTGTGTTTTGTCTTAGGTCAGTAATAACTAAATTGGAGAATTTTGTGGTGTTTTAATGACCTACTTTGCTTTTGAAAATCATTCCAAGAATGGTCGTTGGCTCATTCAATAAGTATAGAAATTCAGTCTAAATCACTGTCACTGTCCTCCCGTTGTTCATCAATTTGCTCAGGCGGGCCCAGTAACGTCTCCATTGGAGACTTTGTTGTTACTGTGTTTGGCATATCAAATACATCATGGGTAGCTTGCCAGGCTCTGCCATGCGGGTGAGATACTCTCGGTAGCTTGCCGGACTCTCCGAGAGGGGTGGAGGAATCGAACTCGGGTCGGCCTTGTTGGCTGCGTGCAAGGCAAACGCCCTACCCGCTGTGCTATCGCTGCAGCCCTCAGTCTAAATATGTGTTGAAAAATAAACATCTAGGTACTGGCTCAGTGGTAAAAGTGCAAGCGTTGCATGGGGTGAGTCCTTGGCATGGCAAAAGAAAAACAGTATTCACTACAGGTGCATTTCTTTTAATTGGAAGATGCACATTAGATTTATTATACGTATTTTCCCTTTTCGTTGATGTCAAGAGAGGGGTGCGGCAGGGTGATACCATTTCACCAAAACTCTTCAGTGCCACCCTCGAGAACATCATGCGACGACTGGAATGGGAAGGAATGGGAGTGAAGATAGATGGTCGGCAACTACACCACCTCCGCTTTGCTGATGACATTGTTTTAATAACACCAAACATCAGCCAAGCGGCACAAATGCTGGCCGACTTTGACCGTGAGTGTGGAAAGGTAGGACTACAGCTGAATCTTACGAAGACAATGTTTATGAGAAACAGCCTCGTTCCTGACGCCCCATTCGCTCTCAATGGAACGACCATCTCCGAATGCAACAGCTATGTGTACCTAGGTCGAGAGGTCAACATGACAAATGACCTGGCACCCGAGCTGCGCAGGAGGAAGAGAGCGGCTTGGAACGCCTTCAAGAACGTCGAAGAAATAGCTAAGAGGACGAAGAACCTCCGGCTCCGGGCACATCTCTTTGATTCCACTGTTCTTCCTGCATTAACATATGCCTCAGAGACCTGGGCCCTACGCAAACAAGATGAGAACGCCATTTAGGTCTCCCAAAGAAGAATAGAAAGAGCTATGCTTGGAATATCACGTTTCACTCAAATGAGAGAACGAATCCGGAGTTCTGACATCCGTCGACGATCAAGGATCAGGGACGCTGTCTCATTTGCCAAGGTGTCGAAAATCAGATGGGCTGGTCACGTAATGAGATTTAAAGACGACCGTTGGACTAGAGCTGTTACTGATTGGATTCCACGGGATGTCAAGAGACCGCGTGGCCGCCCACCTACCAGATGGTCAGACTTCTTTGTCAAGGTCATGAACGATCGGTTTGAGGCCCTCCATGTTCCCGGAGCGAAGAGATGCCATTGGGCTACACTAGCACGCGACAGGGACAAATGGAGACGTTACTGGCGCCCGCTCGAGCAAATCGACGACTAACGGGAAGTTAAGTGATTAAGTGATGATGGGGGCCAGGCATCAGATCCAGGGCCTCATTCCTTGCTTGGCGTGGCCTCTACCACCGAGCTACTTCCCCGGTCATAGTAGTAGAAAGACTTGCAATCAGAGGTAAATATTACTTGACTTACTTGAAGTGTGATAGAATTTCTAGTATCTTTGAGTCACTAGACATTTTTAAATGGCGTTAGGTGTTGTTTTATTTGAGTCGATGCTCTATTTCCTAGGCGTTAACAGCCCAAGAAAATCCTTATGCAAAGGAAGTTGATCCTGTCATTAAGTCCACTGAGGAGAAGAAAAAGGCGGAAGAGAAACAGAAAAAGCAGCAGGCGCTGTCACAGAAAGACCTGGTAATACAGAGGGATTCCCGCCTGGCGCTTATTTGGCTGAATGTTGGCTTAGTTTCTTGTATGATAAGTTTCTGGTTTGGCTTTTGGTTTTTAGTTTTGGGCCCCACCCTGCTGTACTCAGGGCTTCCTCCTGACTGTGCTCTTAGGGTTTGGGGACCAGAGGTGGTGCTGGGGTTCCAGCCCGGGCTGTCCGCATGCCAGGCGAGCGCCCTCCTCATTGTTCTGCCATTCCAGCCCCACCAGGTTTCTGTCTTTTCGAGCACTATTTTAAAATTCTTCAATAAGAACTGTAAATTCAACATTTCCATACCTCTGGAGTCCATGATTTTTTTTTTTTTTTGCTTTTTGGGTCACGCCCAGCGATGCTCAGGGGTTACTCCTGGTTCATGCACTCAGGAATTGCTCCTGGCGGTGCTCAGGGGACCCTATGGGGTGCTGGGAATCGAACCTGTGTCGGCCATGTTGGCTGCGTGCAAGGCAAATGCCCTACCTGCTGTGCTATTGCTCCAGCCCCTGGAGTCTGCGAATTTAAATTTCGAGTAATTGAAAAATTAAGTAAATGGCCCTGGAGCGATAGCACAGCGGTAGGGCATTTGCCTTTCAAGCATCCAACATGGCCGAGTTCGATTCCTTCGCCCGCTCGGCAGAGCCTGGCAAGCTGCCCGTGACGTACTCGATACACCAAACACAGTAACAACAAGTCTCATGATGGAGACGTTACTGGGCCCGCTCGAGCAAATCGATGAAAAATGGGAGGACTTGATAAGTAAATGACCATACAGTTTGGTTTTTTGTTTGTTTTTTGGGTCACATGCGGCAATGCACAGGGGTTACTCCTGGTTCATGCACTCAGGAATTACTCCTGGCGGTGCTTGGGGACCATATGGGATGCTGGGAATCGAATCTGCGTTGGCTGCGTGCAAGGCAAACACCCTACCCGCTGTGCTATTGCTCCAGCACCGACCATACATATTTAAAGAGATGTAAGTTTAGGAAAGAAATTATTTTTGAGTTTTTAAACATATATACGAATTTAGCATGAAAATAATTTGCAATTCTTTATTTACTTATTTTTATTTTTTGCTTTTTGGGTCACACCCAGCAATGCTCAGGAGTTACGCATGGCTCTGCACTCAGGAATTACTCCTGGCAGTGCTCAGGGGTCCATATAGGATGCTGGGAATCGAACCCGGGTCAGCCACATACAAGGCAGACGCCCTACCCTCTGTACCACGGCTCCAGCCCCAGTTGTAATTCTTTTAATGTTCGAAACTTTATTTAAATTTACAAAACTGTGATTGACAAAGTTGTTCATAATACAATTGTTTCAGGTATTCATTTTTTAAATGTAATTTTGTTGATTACATTCACGATTCCAACACCTTACCCACCACTATTACACCTTCCAGCCACTATTGTTTCCAATTTTCCCAACAAACACCCAAGCCTGCCTCAATAGCAGGCCTTAAATCATTTATTTTGTGTTGATTGTTATGAAAATTTTCTTTAGAAGAAAGCATGTGAAGATTATTGTATCTCAGCCTGGAGCCAGTAAGTCCTCGCATAAGTGATTACTGACCTGTTGTTACAGGTTGGGCCTTGTGTGCTGATATGTTCTGAATCAAGATGGGCTGCCTTCTACTTTCCATCCCACCCAGTGTGGTGTGCCCACATATCAGTGGTGTAGAGTAGATGTCGCTCAGGAATTCTAACATTTTGAATGGGTTGGTACAGCTGGAGTTGAATTTTTAGCTGGATGACGACTTTGGGGTCCAGAAGAATCTCTGCAGTTTGTTGATCTCTTCCAAGATTTATTTATGCATCTTTGGATCGTGGTCAGTTAGTGAGCTTAGATGGCGCCAAAGATAGTTCATGGGCGTGACTGCCAGGGGCCTGGAAGAACAGAGAGATGGGGGAGGTGGCCTATTCCCACTCCATGAGAGCCTGGAGATTTTATTCACAAAACCCGTATGCCTGAGTTTTCAACAGATTCATTCCTGGACAAGGCTTGTCCCGAGCCTGTGGGGTCCAGTGGTGAGCATGGAGGCAGTTGGGTTCTGGAGTGTTTTGGCTGCCGGGGCTCTTTTTGGGCAAGTGGTGGGTTCAACTGCCCCTCCTCCGGGGTGCCCCGAATGAGACTCTGTCTGGTGTGGGGTCTGCTTCAGGCATTCAATGTTCCGACACTAGTCCCACCACTGTGTGACGTTCCCTTCACCAATGTCCCATCCACCACCACCCCCTCCCTGTTCCCTTAGCAGATACAAAATTATTTATTTTGCTTGTTACGACCATTGTCTCACAGTGGTGTTACTAAAGTCATTTCTAAGGCTTTACTCAACTGTTCGGTGCCAGTTGAGCCTTCTGCATGAATGTTTTCACTCACTGAACTTAGTGGGCTTCTGTGCAACTTTCCCACCTAATTTGCTGTGCTCCTACTGGGCTGTCTGTCAGTGCTGTGAAGTTTGGAGTCTCCAGGGGCCGTGAAACTGGGGTGATTTAGCAACTTGCCATCTCTTTGGGGTTTGCTGTGGAGCTGGGCCATTGATTTGCCAGAGGGATTTGGTCGAAGGCAGGGACTCGGCCTGCCCCCCTCCCAGTAAGGCTCCAGAGATCCCGGCCCGGAGACAGAGCCTATCTCTGAGCCTATGACTGAGCCGTATCTCTCTTAAGCTTAGTCCTGGAGCTGGGCTGTTTGTATGCTGGAGGATTTGGGTTCACCACTCGTTGCAAGCTGAGCTTCAGTACCTCGGCCAGCTAGGATATGAAGGCATCTACTGCCCCTATGACCTGCTGCAAGGAAGGTGGGCAGGGCTGCTTCGAGGCTGTGCTGCTGCCTCTTCACGCCCTCGCCACTGCTCCAGGTGCCCCAGACACCCTCTGGGTGTCTTGGGAAACTTAGGCCTAACCCCCTTCCCTGGGGCCTAATGTGAATCACAGTTCTTATATTAAGATTCTTAGTTTTCGGGGGGGCATTGGGCCCGACTCTGGTGCTCAGGTCTCACTCCTGGAGGTGCTCGGGGGACTCTTAGGTGGTGCTGGGGCTCATACCATATGCAAAATAAGCACCTTCATCTCTGTATTTTCTCTAGCCCTGTAATTTTTTTCGCTCCTGAGCTATCTAGAAAAACTGGGTTGAGATTTAGTTTAGTAAAAATTAGTTGAAAATGAGTTGAGATTTAATTTAGCTTTTCAGGGATGCACAGAGGATTCCTAATACATTCTATGGAATGTTTGTTGGTTGTGATGTCTCTGTGACTGAGGCCACTGAGATAGTACAAGAACTGAGGCACATGGCTTGTGTGTGGTCATCCCTGGTTCCGTCTCTGGTGATAACCTGGTTCAAGCCTTGCTGGGTGTGGCCCTGGGGACCCCCAGCATCACCTGGGTGGTCTGCGTAGTCCTCAGCACCATAGGGCCCAAGCAGCAGCAGTCTCAGGCCTTCACATCAATCCCCCAGCCCAGTTTGTGGAGCAACTCAGGGAGGGTCCCCGCCTTCCCCAAACATTACAGTCAGATCAGGGTGTACAGCCCAGAGGTGGAACATATGCTGCCCATTCTGGAACTGTTGCTTTCACATGGATTATTGGAGCTGTGAAGTACTGTGATAGCTTCTTGTTTAACTTTAACAGTGTCTCTCACAATGTTATTTGCACCGATGGAAGAATGCCTGGGGGCACCGGAGAAATCCCGCAGGGGATAAGGTGTTTCGTGGTTCAATCCCTAGCGCCACATTTGATCCCCTGACCTTTACCAGGAGTGATCCCTGAGCAGAGAGCCAAGAGTCAGCCCTGAGCACCTGCCAAGTTATAGCCCCAAACTAAAGTCACAGACAATAAAAATAATTGTTGGGGCTGGATAGTCTGGGGGGGAGGGTGAGGCACTTGCCTTGTATGTGGCTGGCTGGTTTAATCCGTGGTTGGTATGCCATTGGTCCCCTAATACTGGTCTCCCAGTCACTACCAGGAGTGTCCTCTAAGGGGCCAGAGGGATACCACAGTGCGTGGGGAGTTTGCCTTGCATATGGCCGACCAGGGTGTGATCCCCTATAGTCCCCAAGCACTGGAGTAATTTCTGAGTACAGAGCCAGGAGTAACCCCTTAGCATTGCCAGGTGTGACCCCAAAAAAGCCCCCATCAGCCCCCCAAAATAGTGTCTCCTGAGTATTGATACCCATCAATATTGGCTCCAATCTCTCCTAACAATGTAATGATTAATGTTGCACGTTAATATAGTAGTAGTCTTTCAAAAAAAATTTAGTTAGGAACTGAATTATTAGGAATCACAGTAGAACTTATTAATAATGAGTGTCCTTGTGTTTTTTAAGATTTGGATTTGACTACACTCTTTGTTGCATATAAACACATTTTTTCCCTTTATTCTTTTCTCCACAATTACAGGGAAATATATTTTTCAAAGAGGGAAAATATGAAAGAGCAATTGAGTGCTATACTCAAGGAATAGCAGCAGATGGCGCCAATGCTCTTCTTCCTGCTAATAGAGCGATGGCCTATCTGAAGATTCAGAAGTGAGTATTGGTTCCACTTAGCTGCTTTTCAGAATGAAAACCAAGTTTTATCTAACCAAAAAGCTATAAATTACTCCTGTTGTGGTTGAGAGGGAGAAAGGTAAGTGTGTGTTTGTACTAAGGACTTAGTACATAGTGAAGGGTAGTTCTCTATAACATGTCCCCCCTTTTAGTAGTCTGGTACTAGACATTTTAATTGTGTTTTGTTTTGGGGCCACACCCAGCAGTACTTAGGGCGCTCTCCTGTTCCGTACTCGGAAGTCACTGCTGGCAGGCTCCAGGGACCACATGGGATGTTGGGGATTGAAACCCAGTTGACCACCTGCAAACCAAACACCTGCCCGCTGTACTGTAACTTTGTCCGCCCCCACTCCCCATTTTAATAGTTTCAGTAGTTTTGTATGTCTTGGACATTGGTGATTTTAAAATAGTTTTTAGCAGCAGAACCTTTGGGCAAGTAGTCAGTGGAGAAGTGTCATGGTCATACTTGTCTGGCTGGAGGCATTGATCGCTGTCTTGATGCACTTGGTCACGTGTGCATTGAAAGCTCGGCCCTGTGGCTTCAGCGTTTGCTCAGGAATTTCAAGCTAGACGGTAGCATAATATCTGTTTTGGTTTTGACTTTTGGCTTGGGGGCCAAACCCTGTGCTCCACAGGGACTTCTCTTTGCCTGGTGCCCAGGGCTTGCTCTTCCTGCTACTTCGGGGATGTGCAGTGCCTGGGGCTGGACCTGAGACTTTCATCCGCTTGTACTCCAGCCTTTGAGCTGTCTCCACAGGAACTGTCTTCTAGGTCTTTGTGTATCTTGTAATGACGCTTCACATACTAGTGACCAAAAACTGAAGGGCCATGAGCCGTGGTGTTTAAGTTAACAACAACAGCAATAACCTAAAGGAAACGGGATGTAGCTCACCGGTAGAGCACTTGCCTTGCATATATGAAGCCCTTCATTCCATTCCCAGTATTAGAAAAAGTGTGTGGTTTCTGGGGGGATGAAACGGAGGAAATCAAAAAAAGTTAACCTGGTGGTGCTCAGGGAAAAGTACTGATTCCGACTCAGGAATTCCTCCTGGAGGTGTTCAGGGCACCATTGGGGTGCTAGGGATCGAATCTGGCAAACGGCCTATCTGCTGTCCTCTCTCTCCAGCCCCCACCCCCATATATTATAAATAGGCACTCTAAACTATTTGTTGTGCTATTATCCCTTGGCCGCATGGCATACCTTTCTCAGAACAATATTTTTCTTTATTATATAAAATTGTATGTAATACATCGTTTCTAACAATATATCTAGGATTACAAAAAAAATCAAGTTACACTGAAGTAGAGTTATAAAGAATATTAAGATTTTGGTATAGTGATGTGTACTATTCCCCCTTGCCCCCCCCTTCCCATATTATGAAATGAGAAACTAAGCAGGCTGCAGCTAAAATAAAGCTAAAAATCTCTTTAAAATCAGGACCGTAAATGTTGGGGTGATTGTTAGCATATGTTCTCCAGTTCATTGACTAATGGAGGCAATAGGGAATGAATGCCCAAAGGCAACTGAGGTAGGTGATCGTGTAAATAGTGACAAGCTCTGACCTCATTCTTGGACCTGAGTCTGCTCGGGTCAGAGCTGCTCGGGGTCGGCCAGCTGTGTGGCTGAGTGTCTCCAGGCGGGAACTCTGCAGTCAGATACAACAGCAGGTTCAGTGACTTTGGGAATTCTGAAATGGTGATGTACAGAAATAATATTCTCGGTCACCTTTCACAATTGTAAAGTAGTCTAAAAATATTTTTTTAATTAGGGACAGTCCTAATTTACTACTATGGTGTTGTCTATATTTGCAATTGAAACAAAGTTTGTGTGAAGGTTAGTGAAAATTAAGGCTGTAGTTTTTCCCACCCAAGTTTTCAGATCTCTCAAATGACCTGTCAGGTTGGGAATCCTTAGCCTGTCCTAAAAGTAAATTTGGTTGTATATTTAACCATAGACATTATTTTGATTAGGGTAGAGATCATTGCATGTCTTCCTATCCTAGTTTCTGAAAATATTGACTTGCTATTTAAGAACCGTGCATTGGTTTGAAATTTTCAGATCTTAATTTTGACTAATACTAAGAATAATATCTTAGATAAGAAATTGTTTTCATTTATGAGTTTCAGGAAAGGGTAAGGAATAAAGAGTTGAGGGGCCAGAGCGATGGCACAGCGGGGAGGACCCTTGCCTTGGGGACGGCTTACCTGGGTTTGGTCCTCACTGCCCGGAGTAATTCCGGAGTGCAGAGCCACAGATAATCCCTAAGTGTTGCCGAGTGTGGCCTGGAAACCAAAAGAAAGGGAAAAAAGGAAAGAAAGAAAGAGGCTGGGAGGTGGCTCAGAGGGCGAAACACGCTCTACCTCTCTGGCGGCACGATGTTCCCTACCAGGAGTGCCCCTTGAGCACTGAACTGGGAGTCCCTGAACACTGCTGAGTGGGGTTTTTTATTTGGAGGGGGTGTCACACCCGGTGAAGCTCAGGGTTTAGTTCTGGCTCTGCGTTTGGGAATTCTCCAGGTGCCTCTCAGGGACCCTGTGGATCCCAGGGATAGAACCTGGGTCGGCCACGTGTAAGGCGAGCGCCTTACCCACTATACAATATCTCTGACCCCAAATTCAAAAGTTTTACAGACTGCTTTTGCTTAGGTGTTGCATTCTAGAAGTGAATAGCTGTTTTATTAAAAAACAGTTGCCAATTAGCCATTGCAGGTGCAGTACGTAAATGTTGCATTGAGTATTGGAAGGCAGTAAGTAGACTGCTGGCTTTGGTATTCTTCTGTCCTTCCCGTTTCATCATCATCCTCTTCCCTGGCCGTGTCCTTTCAAGATTGGGCGAGTGAAAAATGAGAACAGCGTGGGCTGGAGAAGGGAGATCTTGGTACAGGGGTTAGGGTGCTGCTTTCTCTGCACCCCAGCTGGATCCCAGGCACCATCAATGTTCCCTTGAGCAGCAGCATCAGTCGGCCTGGAGTCAAACTAAAATCGGCCTGTGTGGTCCAACTCCCCACCCTCCCCACCCCGAAAGGATTAAAAAGTAGTCTTTCCTTCATTCACAGATTCGGAATTTGGTCATTGAAATGATATGCATGATTTTCACATGAAAATGTTTTCTATTACTTTGCTGCAGTTGGTGTGTTTATTTGATGAGCAGTTTCCCCTGCTGGTTATTTTTAATAGGTATGAAGAAGCCGAGAAAGATTGCACGCAAGCGATTTCTTTAGATGGCTCATACTCTAAAGCTTTTGCCAGAAGAGGAACTGCAAGGACATTTTTGGGCAAGTTAATTGAAGCCAAGGAAGGTATGACTTTTGTAACAATTGTCACTCATCCTCAGGGAGCCCCCAAGTTACGGAAAAAAGGCATTTACAGAGCTTTTCCACAGTTCAAAGGTGAAGAACTTGAACCTGGAAAAGTGCCCTTTCTTTCAGCTTAGGACACGATTATGTTTGTAGATTTAAAAAAATACAGCTTTCATAAGAAGCTAGTAATATGCAGTTGAGTCTGACTAATATAAATGAAAATTAGTGAAAAAATCTGATTTTAGGAGAGAAAGAAATCAAGTAAATGGTAGGAATGAAAAGAACAAAAATAGTAGTGAGAGATGGAAAATAATGTGAATCAGTAATAATGTTTCTTTTTTATTGTTAGAGATAGTTAGGATCCACTTTTAGAAATCAGATTGTCGGGGATGGAGCAATAGTACAGCGGGTAGGGTGTTTGCCTCGCACGCGGTGGACCTGGGTTCGATTCCTAGCATCTCATATGGTCCCCTGAGTACCACCAAGAGTAATTCCTGAGTGCAAAGCCAGGAGTAAGCCCTGTGCATCGCCGGGTGTGACTCAAAAGCCAAAAAAAAAAAAAAAAAAAAAAAAAGAAAGAAAGAAAGAAGAAAGAAAGAAAGAAAGAAATCAGATTGTCCATATCTGTCAGACTCAGTTTGCTTTTGTCAATTATGTTTTCTTTTTTATTTCTGCTCCTTCGTTTCATCTGTCTTCAGGTTGAACTTGCTGTCTTTCTAAGTTCTTGACATAAATACCTAAATATGTGAATTTTAGCCTTTTTTTCTGATGTACACCAGTAAATGTGGCATGTCCTCTCCAGGCCTGGATTCAGTTGGGACCCATGTATTTTTATTGTGGTTAATTTTACTTAACACAAAATAGACCATTTTTGCCATTTCTAAGTGTACAGTTCAGTGGTATTAGGTATATTTACACTATTGAGCAAATTTTTAAGATTATTGATTGTCGGGGCTGGAGGGATAGCACAGCGGGTAGGGCATTTGCCTTGCACGCAGCCAACCCGGGTTCAATTCCCAGCATCCCATATGGTCCCCTGAGCACCGCCAGGAGTAATTGGAGTGCAGAGCCAGGAGTAACCCCTGTGCATTGCTGGGTGTGACCCCCCCTAAAAAAAGATTATTGATTGTTGAGGCAGTTTTTCCCTCTCAGCCCAGCAAGCTACCGAGAGAATCCCGCCCACATGGCAGAGCCTGGCAAGCTACCCCTGGCGTCTTCGATATGCCAAAAACAGTAACAATAACGGGTCTCATTGCCCTGACCCTGAAAGTTCCTCCAGTATGGCACGTTGGGAAAGACGAGTAAGGAGAGGCGGCTAAAATCTCAGGGCTGGGAACAATAGAGACGTTACTGGCGCCTGCTCGAGTAACTCGATGAACAATGGGGTGACAGTGACAGTGATTGCGATTAATTATTGAGAAGCTGTAACAACTCTCCACACCCAGAATGTTTTCATCACACCGTCTGAAGACTATTCCTGTATCTAAGCCCTCGCTTCTTAAACTGTTGGTTGTGACCCCTTGTAGGAGTTGCAAGCAGTTTTTAAAACGAAATTTTAAAGCAAATTTCTTGTGCTTTATTATCAGTAAATTTTTGATTTATATACCTGTGGTCATGTAGAAACTTCTCAGATGGTAAGGGTTCACAAGTGGAAAAAGTTAAAAAAAATAAAACCCAATGTAAGCAGTAATTCTTCTCTCTTTTCTCCTTTCAGCCCTGAAAATCATTCTGTTTTCTGTCTCTAGGAATTTGACTGCTCTTGGTATCATATGTATATGGAGAGAGAGAGAGAGAGAGCAAATTATACAACATTTGTTCTTTTGTGCCTGCCTGGCTTCTGTACTAAGCATAGTGTCTTCAGTGTTCGTTCATATAACCATAGATCAGAACTTAATTTTTTTTAAGACTGAGTAATATTCTATTATATAGAATTTTCATAGATTCTATCTTACGCTTGGTGAGTTACTTTGTAATTTGTGGGAGTTTTATAAAGTCATAACCTCTATGCCTCAATTAGCTAACCTGTAAAGTGTAATTAGAATTAGGGTCACATCATAATCCCTCTATAGCCACTGGACTAGCACTCAGTAAATGTTAATTTTTGATACTGAGCATTCTGAATATTTTACGAGATAAACATGGTGTGACTAATTAAATAGTGTCATGTATTGCCTAATGGCATCTTAGTGACGAGGGAACGGTGGCTCTTAAGCTGTGTCACATAGTCTTAAACTGTATTTAGTTTGCGTAATTATGTTGATGACACTAATGATGGTACAGTGACAGCATCTGTGGTCACACAATGCCAGAATCACCCTGTGAGGCACTTCACAGGACAGCCTCCTGCTTAAGTTACGTGTGACTGTGAACATGGAGTTTACATGATGTTCTCCAGAAAATATCTTCTCTAATTATTATATTTAAAAATTTACTTTAGATTTTGAAACTGTTTTACTTTTGGAACCTGGAAATAAGCAAGCTGTAACTGAACTTTCCAAAATTAAAAAGGTATGGTACTCCCCCCAGATTGGTTTTATTTTCTGAAACACACTTATTGTTTACATAATTGACTTGCATATTATGGGTAGTCATGACTGCAAATTTTTCTCTAAGGAATTAATTGAGAAAGGACACTGGGACAATGTCTTTCTTGATTCAACACAAAGGCAGAATGTGATAAAGCCAATTGGTAATCCATCTCATCTTGGATCGGCTGTAAGTAAAGAACTTTTCTTTCGTTTCATTTTGCTTTCATTTCAAGTTGGAAACTGCTGAATGAACAAACTCTTAAACGTAATGTTGCAAGCTCTAGGACCGTTTTTAGAATCTTCAGAATTTTTAGGATTATTGATTATTTTAGGATAATGGAAGAAAATTAAGTTTATAATAGAGGGTTTTTTGGGGTTTTTTTGAGAATTTAACTCATTAAGAACAAAAAAAATTCTGGTCAGAAGAACATCGTGTGTGTGTGTGTGTGTGTGTGTGTGTGTGTTTTCCTTTTTCCATTTCTTTTTCACTTTATTTAAACTCTGGTTCACAAAGTTGTTCGTGGTGATTTGTTAAGGCATTCAACACTCCAACACCAGTCCAGCCACCATTGTTATAATAGAGGGCCTTAAGTGACTTTTAGCACTAAATTTAAATATTGATACATATTTTCTAATTTTGGGCTGGAGAGATAGCACAGTGGGTAGGGCGTTTGCCTTGCACGTGGCCAACCCAGCCGACCCGGGTTCGATTCCTCCGCCCCTCTCGGAGAGCCCGGCAAGCTACCGAGAGTATCTCGCCCGCATGGCAAAGCCTGGCAAGCTCCCCGTGACATATTCGATATGCCAAACACAGTAACAAGCCTCACAATGTTATTGGGCCCGCTCGAGCAAATCGATGAACAATGGGGTGACAGTGACAGTGATTTTCTGATTTTCTAATTTTAAAGGAATTTGAAGTTATTGTACTTTCTATAATTGTTTTTTATTTTGTGACTATTTGAAATTAGTGTTATAGCCATTTATCATGTGTAGGGTTATATCTAAATTAGTGCTGCAGGCAAAAACCTAGTGTAGGCATAATTATTCTTGAAATTCTACCTTGCCTGGGATGAGAGAGATGGCTTAAGGCTTATGCCTTACTTGCAAGTATTCTGGATTAAGTCCCTGGCACAGGTGATTCCCTGAGCCCAGCAACTGGAATCGTCCCTGAGTACAGGCAGGTGTGTCCCAAAAAACAAACACGCAGTATAGGTTATTGTTTATGGCATAAATAGAGGCAGGTTTGTTTATTAATTGGTGTTTTTTGTTTTGTTTTCTCTTTTGGTGCTTAACTGCAAAGAGGAGCGGGCATGAATTTAGTGGTTTGTTTTGTTCTGAACTTTAAAGTTGTAGTAATTCGAAGCACATATGTATGTGACTGTTAACTTCTAACTTTTATGTATCGTATGTGAATTTTGAACTATAAAGCACATGGGAAAAACAACAGCTAACAAATCAAGTAATTGTGAAGCCATTATTTAAAAAATCACTAATCCAGGCCAAACTTTTATGGCGTTAGCTCTCCAGACGTGTGTGTCCTGCACAACCCATGACCGTGTCAGATCTGTGTGCCCCTCACAACTTACTATCCTGTCCTGCCCCAGAGGGGTCTGATAGGTTTTAAGCATTGATGGTGATTAACGAATTTCAATTTTAGAAGAGAGTCAGAGCAGATGGACTCATCAAACTCTTACAAAGGAAGAAGGTGTTTTCACAAAGTATAATTGTAGAAGTTTCCTTAATTTGATACCTTTCGGTGTCCCTTGTTTTGGGTCTGGGGGTGAGGGGGTCACACCCTGTGGTGCTCAGGGCTTATTCCTGGGTCTGCACTCAGGAATCACTCCTGGCGGTGCGTGAGGGACCAGATGGGATGCTGGGGATCTAACCCAGGGCAGCCGCATGTAAGGTGGCTTGCCCATTGTCACACCTTACCCATTGTACTATTCACTCCAACCACTTTTCAGTGGTTTTGTTGTTCATTCTTGAATTTTTGTGTGTTTGTTTTTTTGGCTACCCAGGAGCAATAGCACAGCGTAGGTCATTTGCCTTGCATGTGACCGACCTGGGTTCGGTTTCTCTGTCCCTCTTGGAGAGCCCAGCAAGCTGTGGAGAGCCTCCCACCTGCACGATAGAGCCTGACTACCCATGGCGTGTTCGAAATGCCAAACACAGTAACAACAAGTCTCACAATAGAGACGTTACTGGTGCCCGCTTGAGCAAATTGATGAACAACGGGACAACAGTGCTGACGTGCTACAGTGTTTTTTTGGGCTACACCCAAGCAGAGCTTATGGCTCTGGCAGACGTGGGGGACCATATGAGATGCTAGAAATTGAACGTGGGTTGGCTGCGTTCAAGACAAGCATCTTATCCACTGTACTGTCTTTCTGGTCACCAATTCTTGGCTTTTTAAAAAGGATAATATTTGGTTTTTTATCATAAGTTATACTCATCAAGACCCTGAAGGATCGGCTTGAGGCTCTTCGTGTTCCTAGAATAAACAGACGCCATTGGGCTACACTAGCTCGGGACAGGGGCAAATGGAGACGTTACTGGCGCTCGCTCGAGCAAATCAATGATTAACGGGAAGTCACGTGATCAAGTGATACTCGTTTTTATGTAGATTCCTTTGTGTTTTATAAAATTAAAGATGATTGTATATTAAGTCCGATTTAAACTTACATTTCTAAAGTGTTTCTTCACAACATTTCATTTTGTGGAATCTAACAAATTGTTAGATTTTTCTGTCCGTAGTTACCAAGACATTGCCGTTTGGCAAATACCTGTGCATGTAATGCTCTGTTACCAGTGTGCCTTCAGCAGCTGTTATAGATCTGGTCCTCTATTCCTCTACTGTAAAAGCCAGTTTATGTTAATTGTTGTGAAAATGACAAATTTAAATCTGGCAGGTTATCAAAATGAGACATTTCTATGAAATGAGAACTGTTCTGCATATTATCCAACACAATCATTGGGAAGGAAGAAAATATTTATTTACTTATTTACTTATTTATTTCGGTTTTGAGCCACACTTGACTTCGGCCTGTGAGCGCGGGGATGACTCCTGGTGGTGCCCAGGGGTTGAACTGGGTTTGGCTGGGTGGAGGTGAGCTTTGTAAGCCCTGTACTAGCTCTCCGGTAACAGTTCTCTGTAGTCAAAATCTGGACCTCATTTTGAAAAGCAGGAGATGCAGTTTGAGATTTAATGAGCCACACTTTATAAACTTTCCAATCTTGAATTAGTTGCCTAATTCCAAATTACTTTTTCTGCATTAGTTGAGAGTGATTCACAGGTTAGTTGAAATGGCAGGGAATTTTGTCCATTGATGTTGAGGCAGTTGAGGTGAAATGAGTGTTCACTTCTGCTTCTGTCACGCAGTTTGGAAACCGTCTTGTTGCTGGGGAAAGTGGTAAGGAAAGAACCTCGGGGGCTGGGGGCGGGGAGTGGAGACCTATGAAAGGACTTGACTGGAGTGAGGGGCGAGGCCAGGGCGATGTGTGCTGCGGCGGTTGGCAGCTCATAATGCATCTGGCAAGTCTGTCGCGAGAAGGAAGGAGAGCGGTGAGGTTGGCCCGCTGGGCCCGAGGGTTCCCTGATACATGGACGTTTCCTTGATCTCTGTTCTGTATCTGTTTCTTGGTTTGGGACCACGCCCATCAGTGCTCAGGTATCAACCCGCTGTATTATCTCTCCAGCTTCTAAAATGCTTTATTGATTTATTTTATTGTTTTGTTTTTGATCCTGGCGAGACTCAGTAGTTACTCCGGGCTCTGCACTAAGGAATTGTTACTGGAAATGCTCCGTGCTTAAGTATGCCACTAAATTTTATTAAAAGGGATGAAGTAAGCCTTTCGTGTTTCCTTTTTTTCTTTTTTTTTTCAGGAGGGCTGGAGGTGGGGGTATTCCCAAGCCATGTTAAGAGGCCTGCGGCCCCCAGGAGTTGAGTGAGGGGCCTGAGGGTACTCTGTTACTTGGTTCTTTAAGTGCTAGGCATTCCCTGGGCCACCCTGGTGGTGTTTGGGGATCTCAAGGGCTGCACCCTGTGATATTCAGAGGGATCAGGTGATGCTGGGATTGACCTTGAAGCCTCTACAAGCTCTGTGACCCGATAGTGGGATTTTTTGAGTTTTATTATTACTACTTTCAGCATCTGGACTTCCTCTCAGTCCCCTTAGCCATCAGCACCCACTTACTAGAGACCATCTATTAGAAAGTTAGAAATATGCTTACGAAACTGTCGTTAATGAAAGGATTAGTTTTAAACAAGACTGCCTTGGTTTAAATAAATATTGCCTGTTAGAAATGAGGCTTTTTAGTTTTTCTTCTTTAAATGGCAACATACATCCATTCTTGGTCAGTCCTTTTTGTTCTTGTGTTTGGGCCATACCCGGCAGCGTTCAGGGCTTCCTCTTGGCTCGGTGGTCAGGGCTCACTCCTGGCAGTGCTAAGGGGACCACATGGGGTGCCCGGGATCAGACCTGGGTCTTATGTGTGCGAGAAAAGTGTCCTACCTGTCTTGATAGAAAATTACTGCTACTGATATTTCTCAATAGAGACCTCAATTATTCATGATTAAAAGAGGACTGCTAACAGGATTCTGTCAGAAAATTTGCTATCATCTTTTGCATTTTTGTGCGTTTATCTAGTAACAGTCCTTACCATTAGGCCTTAGTTACGGGATAGAGTGGTTTTAGCATGGAAGTAATACATGTGTCAAAACTTAGTTTACTTAAGCTCTTGATTTGAATTCGGCAGTCTAGTCCCGGGGAGAGAGCTAAAGGGGCTGGAGCACGGGCCTGGCATGGACAGCACCCTGGGGGCAGCCCCTGACATGGCTTTGCCACCCACGAACTGCCAGACATGGCACCCCATTCTCCTCAGGAGGCGCCGTGTTCTCCTCCATTTCCACCGAGTCCAGCTGTGTGGTCGGAACGAACACTTGGAGTGCCTTCCGTTCCTTCCATGTATCACTGTATCACTGTCATCCTGTTGTTCATCAATTGTAACGTTTCCTTCGCCCTAGCCCTGAGATTTTAGGAAGTGCCACATTCAAGGCTCTTTCAGGGTCAGGAGAATGAGACCCGTCATTGTTACTGGTTTTGGGCCTGGTGAATACGCCACGGGAAGTTTGCCAGACTCTGCCGTGTGGGCAGGGTACTTTTGGTAGCCTGCCAGGTTCTCCAGAGTAAGAACAAGATGATAAGATATCACGCGGCACTTCAGGGTATGTTTCCCCTTTCCGGGACTGTGGCCCCTGTCCGCCTGAGATGTGTGCTGGGCATATTCTCTGTCCTGGGAATTCACCTTCTCTCCTGACCCTGAAATGTTCTTTCCCTTCCTTCAGTTCCCAAAATAACTTACCTTTTAAAAAGTATTTTTTCTTTTTGAGTCCAAAGGAAGAGAATTTTTTGTTTTGTTTTTGGTCTATACCTGGCATTGCGCTGGGCTTACTCCCAGCTCCGTGCTCAGGGGCCATTCCTGGTGGTGCTCGAGTGTGTATTTCCTGAAGGGCCGCAGCGCTCTTGTCTCTCCTGCCGCTTGTGTTCGGTGGTCTTGCGTGGTTTCCCTGACCCCAGGGAGGTCAATGGCGTTGGGCAGGCGAAGGAAGGACGCGGGTCAGGCTGGTCGGGATCAAGTGCGGTTCATTCCCATCTCCTCTCCATTCTCCTCTGGTTCTCTCTCTGGATCCCCCTGCTTCTCACTCCCTCTTCATTCTCACTCGCCCCCTTCTGATCTTACAGTCTTAGTTTATAAGCAATCACACAGGGAGGTGATACAAAGGTGGGTTGAGCATTAACAGGTCAACAGAGAGGGGTAAGACCACTCCTCCAGGAGATCGACTCAAGGACAAATCTCATCCAAGGAGATGACTCCGGATTACTAGGAGATTGCTGAAGGGCGGGATCCCATCCAGGGTGTGTGCTTTCTTCTTTCCTCAGCTAGTAATCCACTTGAATAGTTGTAGTAAATCTGCTTCTCCTATTTCTAGCAATATCTTCTGTATGAGCCCAGTAAGAGATGTATCAACTTAAAGTTTGGTTCTTCCTGAGGACATCTCATTGTATCCTCCAGACCAGAGTCCTCAGGCCAGGTTCGGCTTTCTTAACCCCAGCAGGGTCCTTAGTCAGGTACTTCTTCTTGGGTTATGACAGAGTTTGTCCTTGACTGTGCTCTTAACTTATGGTTAAGTATCATGGCACTTGGCCTGGCCCATTTCGTTGCCAGGGTAGCTCAGAGCTTGCCCTGGGTCCCTTTCGTCCCTTGTCGGGACCCTACTCTTGGGGGGCTAGGAACTAAGGGCAACTGAGTTGAGAAGGCAGATGCCCAAGAGTAAATATCATTCGGAGTCAGTTAACTCCCAAGTTACAGAAGCATAATATTAACTGTCTTGCTGTGTCCATACAAAAAGGACATTGCTTTAAAGTAAACTATGCAAGAGACGGAGAAAAGCAACGTTTCACTTACAATACAAGTTCAATGTCCTAGAAGGATCTGATCCTACAAGTTAACAGAATCTGATTAGGGAGAAAGGTGATTAGCTGGTTGGGGAGAGCACAGAGAAGAGCCTACAGATGAACAGCCTCGTATGTTTAGAGCTATACTCCGACACGCAGGAGTCATATGCTGTGCCTGGGGTCCAACCAGCGTCAGCTGATGCCAAGAAGATGGCTTGAGCCCCTTGGTGTCTCTCTGGGCCCCAAATGAGTATTTATTAAATGTGAAAGAGTATCCTGTAGAATTAAGAAACTGAAGATATTTATTCCCCTCATGATTGAAAGAGTGAATGCTAGTTATTAAAATAAAACACACCATGTCTAAGTCTTGCCAGCTTTAAAAACCTGACTTGTTTTTATTTAGCTGCTACGTATTTAGAGACTGTGCTTCAGTTTTAGTATTAATTTCATACAATACAGGGGCTGGAGCGCTAGCACAGCGGGGAGGGCGTTTGCCTTGCACGTTGCCAGCCTGGGTTCGATTCCCAGCATCCCATATGGTCCCCCGAGCACCGCCAGGAGTAATTCCTGAGTGCAGAGCCCGGAGTAACCCCTATGCATTGCCAGTTGTGACCCAACAAGAAAAAAAAAGTATGCAATACAGTCCACTGGTTTTACCTGGTCTGCTATATGCTGCCAAACAGTCCTTAAGTGATTGGGTGTGTATGAGTTTGTTCCCTTTGGAGAAGTCCAAATGTGACCTGACACATAAGAGCCTTTGCAGTCTGTTTTAAGGCATGTAGGCTTTGCTTGTTACTTCTCTGCATGGGCCTTCTCACCTTTTATGACCTGTAGGACCCGCTGCATTGCCCACCTGTGAGGCTCAGCTCATGCCCGTGCTGATTCCTTTTCACGTTTGCTAGTGTTAGGGCTTTCTCTTCTATAGTAGTAGTTTATAGTATAGTAAAAGACATTGTCTTTTATTCTATAACATATATATATATATTTGTCTTTACAAGTATGTACACTCAAATGCATACAACAAAGGAAGTCTACTAAAGGAAGGTGAATACGTGTGTGTATTTTTTATAGACACCTTCCTTTCATCATACATATGGTAGTGCTGTGCATCTTTGGATTCTTGGTGTGTTTTTTGTTTTTCTTTCCAGTGCTGGGGACCAAACTAAGGGCCTCACGCATGCAAGGCCAGTGCTCTGCTACTTCACTCTACCCCTGGCCCATAGTCTTTGTGTCCTTAGAGTGTGATATCTAAGTTGTCTAGCCATCGGATGTAATATAGCTAGAACTGAAATACTGGCTTTCAGAACACTAGAGCCTTTTCGTTTCTAACCCATAAATAGAAAACCTTTATATGTTGATTTTAAAAATTATTTTAATTGTTCTAGAAACCACTCAGGAAGATTATTATAGAAGAAACTGGTAATTTGATACAGACTGTGGATGAGCCAGATAGCGCTGCTGCTCCTCGTCCAGAGAGTAATCCTATTAATCTAGCAAATGTCATAGCAACCACAGGCACTGCAAATAAGAAGAATTCAAGCCAAGAGGATCTTTTGCCCACAAGCGATGTTCCAAAAGCAAAAGTATTAAAAATAGAAGAAATCAGTGGGACTTCAGCCGTTCAGTGAGTAGAAATCTCTTTTTTATAGTCACGCATATGGTAATAATTCCATTAGAAAACTGATGTTACTGATGAGACTTCCTTTTTTTTTAACGTCTGAAATTTTATTTTAACATCCTGATTTACAAAGTTGCTTGAGGTGTGCAGTGGTCCACCACCAATCCCACCGCCAGTGTGATCTTCCCACCCCCAGTGCTCCAGTGCCCCTGCCCCCGCCTGCCCCTGAGCATGCGTAAAATACTTACTTTATATTGCTCGTCATAACATACGTCTCGTGATGGTGTTACTGAAGTCATTGAGTATTTCCTGAGCTGGGTGATGCTAGTTGAGGTTTCTGTGTTACAGATTTCACTTGCTGAGCTTAGTGGGCAACTTTCCCATCTAGTTCCTGTGCTCCTCCTGGGCTGTTGGTATTGTGGAGTTTGGAGGTGTACACTGCCATGTGCTTTGAGGAGCAGTGTGGCGTCTCAGCTGGGCTGTTTTTATGCTGGTGGAGGTTGGGTGTGGATGGAGCGCTTGGGTGTTCCCACAGGGTGAGGACTCGGTCCCCCCACCTGAAGAAGGCTCCAGAGATCTGGGCTGGAAACTGGGCCTGCCTGGCCCAGCTCAGCTGCAGCCTCTCTCCAAGACCAGAAGTGGGACTGGGCTGTTTATTTGCCCTGATGAGACGTCAGATTTGTGTTTGTCAGCGTAATTTGTTTTCAGGTTTTTTTTTTTCTGGGTGAGGGGGTTTGGGTCATAGCTGACTCTGTTCAGCTCTGACTTTTGGCAGACTTGGGGACCTTACGTAATATAAGGCAAATGCCCTACTTGCTGTACTATCTTTCCAGCCCTTGTCAATGTAAATTATGTTTAGCGGGGGGGGGGGGGGGGTGGAGGAGGGTACACTTTGCAGTGTTCAGGGCTTAATCCTAGTTCAGTGCTCAGGAATCACTCCTGAAGAAGCTCAGGGGTCATATGGGGCTCTGGGGATCGAACCCGGGTCTGCCATGTGCAAGGTCGTCACATTTGATTTAGTAGCCAGAAGTGCCCTAACCCCCATACTATTGCTCCAGTCTTCTAAATGTAATTTTTTTTTTTTTTTGCTTTTTTTTGGGTGGGGGGGAGTCACACCCAACAACGCTCACGGGTTCCTCCTGGCTCTGCACTCAGGAATCACTCCTGGTGGTGCTAGGGGGACCCTATGGGATGCCGGGGATTGAACCCGGGTCGGCCGCGTGCAGGACAAACACCCCACCCGCTGTGCTATCGCTCCGGCCCCTGTCAATGTAATTTTTAAAAAGACTGCCTCACTTTCTCTGCTAGGCCTTTTTATTACCATATTTTTTCTAATTGAAGAACAATGTTTGGTTTGGGGGCCACACCCAGCAGAGCTCAGGGACTCGCATCTGCCCTGTGCTTGGGGGATCCTCCCTGGTGCCGAGGAAACTGAGCTTCCTTCAGCCAGCGCAGACCACTGACCTGCATCTGTGGCCCCAGGGTTTCCTTTCAAATGTTCTACTCTAAAAGATGCATGTATTTTTTTGATGGTAAGAATATAAAATATACAGATTGTTTGTTTGGTGTAGTGACATTTTAAATATATTTGAATTGACATTTGGTAATCCTCTTAGCACTGTAACACTGTCCTCTCATTGTCATCGATTTGCTCGAGCGGGCACCAGTAACGTCTTCATTGTGAGACTTGTTGTTACTGTTTTTGGCATATCGAATACGCCGTGGGGAGCTTGCCAGGCTCTGCCGTGTGGGCGGGATACGCTCGGTAGCTTGCCGGACTCTTCTGAGAGGGATGGAGGGAAGAATCAAACCCAGGTTTGCCATGTGCAAAGCAAATGCCTTAACCACTGTGCTGTCACTCCAGCCCTACCCAATCCTCTTAGATGTTTCTTTTTCACTTTGAATTTTAATACTACTTCTATTTATTTTTTATGTTTTGGGCTTTGAGCCACACCAGGTGGTGCTCAGGGCTTACTCCTGGCTCTGGTCTCATGGATCACTCCTGGCAGGGGCCCCGGGAACCATATGGGATGCTGGAGATTGAACCCAGGTAGCCTCACGCAAGGCAAACACCCCACAGAGTCATTCTTTGGTTTATAGCGATACATATGAGTTGATGGATTGTGGGTTAACATTTACATAGTTTTTGTTCTGTTTTTAAGAAGGAAGAACATTCTTTCCCTCTTGGATTATCTTTCCTAAAACTCTTCAGGATTCTGAAGGGCTGAGTTTTATGTATATGTAATGTAGTAATGAGGGGTATAAAAATGATGTGTTTAAATGGCTTCCAGCTTAATAAGGCCGAACATACAAGAATAGATTATTTACTCTGCATGTGGGAATTTTCAGAGGCTTAATCTGTCTTGCTAAAAATATGCATGCTTCAGCTAGAGTAATCCAGTCATTTTTAAGAATACGATATTGGGGTCAGAGAAATAGTACAGCAGGTAGGGCTCTTGCCTTGCATGTGGCCCTCTGTGTTTCGGCTCCTGGAATCCTACATGGTTCCCCGAACCTACCAGGAGTGATCCTGAGCACAGAGCTAGTAGTAACCCCTGAACGTGACTGGGTGTGGTCCCAGAACAACACAATATATACAATACTAATAGTCGTAGAAATTAAAATGATCCATTCCTTATGTAAACTCGTAACTTTTAATATGGTTCTCTTGTGATTGTTGACTGGTGCTTCTGCAATATTTCAGACCTCCAATTAGTTTGAGACCGAATGTGTGTCCGGCATTCAGTGAGAAGATTTCTACAGAGGCAGACAAAGGCTTGACTCCGTTTATCACAGCTGTTCTTCCGCCTCTTCCGGCAAACTCATTCCAGCTTGAATCTGATTTCAGACAGTTGAAAAGTTCTCCAGATATGTTGTATCAGTATTTGAAGGTAAGGAGCAGCTCTTAGTTGCATTGTAGCTAGACGTTCAGGGACCCCTTTTGTTACCAAAGTGTCCTCCCGTTGTTGTTCATCTGTTTGCTAGAGTAAGCCTCCGTTGTGAAACTTGTTCCTGTTTGGGGCATATGGAATAGGTCAGGGGTATCTTGCCAGGCTTTGCCACGCGGGCAGGCACTCTCGGTAGCTTGCCGGGCTCTCCGAGAGGGGCGGAGGAGTCAAACCCCAGTCTGCTGTGTGCAAGGCAAACGCCCTCCCCACTGTGCTCTCGCTCCCAAAAAAGGGTTAAAAAACAAAAGGAAGGAAGGCAGGTGCAGGGAGCGGGAGCAGGCCGACTCACCCAGGCTGCAGGATGACGTCCTCACAGGGAGCTTTCTGTCGGCCGGAGAGGTGGCACTTCAGCACATGTTCCATACTTCTTCGTTAAATGCTTCTCCACAGCTCTCTTCGTCCTCCTCAAAATAAAACGCTGCATCACCCTGTGCAGCCGGATGTAGTAGTAGGGTTTTTTTTTTTCTGTATATTTATATAGAAACCATTCTTACCCGTTGCCTGATAGGATATATTATCCTAACAGGACCATTGTAAATACTTGCACCCAGGAAAATCTTTGGAAATAGAGTCTATAGAAATTCCAGGAAAATAATATAAATTTTGGTATTATAAATTACCTTTTTAACTGGGGAAAAATGCTAAAATACATTGTGTACCGTCTATGTTTTAAGCAATGCTTGCAATATTTGGCCTAAAAGCAAGCTTCTGGTTGCTTCTAGAAAAATAAATCATAAGAAATTTGCTAAATAATGGATTTTTCAGGAAAATAATTTCAGATTATTTCTTGAAATTACGAAGTATGCCATTGCTTCCCAATCTATATTCTCATGTAATTTTATTTTTTAATATCTTAAATTATTTTATTGCTTCTTGAACTTTCAGATTTCCTGTCTCAGGGTAGTATATCTGTCTCTCTGCTAATGAATTTTTTTCTTTTTGATCACACCCGGCAGTGTTCAAGGGTTACTCCTGATTCTGCACTCAGGAATTACTCCTGGTGGGCTTGGGGGACCATATGGGATTGAATCTAGGTCAATGTCATGCATGGCGAGTACCCTACTTGGTATGCTCTCTCTCTAGTCCCTGTTTATGAAATTTTTAACTGGCTTAAACAGAGATCCAAGTATCTTTAGTTACTTTTATTCTGTCATAATTACGTTCAGTGTCAACCTTATTATTCATTCAGTGCTTTTGCTTATAGCGCTTATGGTAGTTATTCTTTGCTATATTTGCTTATCATCTAATCAGTTATATAATTTGTGGTCCCTGAATGTTTTCATAATTTAATTTTATCTTTTTTTAATTTGATTTTTATTAGTGAAACACCATGAGGTACAGCAGTAGACTCACAAACTTTTGTGCTTGGGTTTCAGTTATATAATGATGGAGTCCCCATCCCTCCACCAGTGCCCACTCTCCACCACCAGTGATCCTGGTAGCCCTCCCATCCCCCTCCCCCTCCCCATCCCCCCACCCTGTCCCGCCTCTGTGGCAGGGCATTCCCATTTGCTCTCTTTCCTTTAGGGTGTTGTGGTTTGCAGTAGAGGTATTGAGTTGCCCTCTTGTTCGGTCCATAGTCTACTCTCAGCATGCATCTTCTATCCCGAGCGAATCTTCCAAAGACCCTTTATTTGGTGTTCCCTTCTCTGTCTGAGCTGTCTTTTCCCCCAGCATGTGCTGCCGGCTTCCAAGCCGTGAAGCAGACCTCCTGGTCCTTATTCTTGGGTGTTCGTCTCCCTTTCTGTTACCTCATAATTCCCCAGATGAGTGCAGTCTTTCTATGTCAGTCCCTCTCTTTCTGACTCATTTCACTTAGCATGATACTTTCCATGGAACCACTTGTATGCAAATTTCATGACTTATCTTTTCTAACAGCTGCATATATTCCCTTCTGTAGATGTACCAAAATTTCTTTAACCCGTCATCTGTTCTCGGGCACTTGGTTTTTTTCCAGATTTTGGCTATTGTAACGGTGCAGCAATGAACATAAAAGTGCAGATGTCATTTCGACTGTACTTTTTTGCCTCTCCGGGATATATTCCCAGGAGTGGTATTGCTGGGTCAAATGGGAGCTCAATTTCTAATTTTTTGAGAATCGTCCATAGTGTTTTCCAAAAGGGCTGAACCAGTCGGCATTCCCACCAGCAGTGAAGGAGGGTCCCTTTCTCCCCACATCCTGCACCAACACTGGTTGCTTTTGTTCTTTTGGATGTGGGCCAGTCTCTGTGGTGTGAGACGATATCTCACTGTTGTTTTGAGCTGCATCTCCCTGATGATTAGTGATATAGAGCATTTTCTCATGTGCCTTTTAGCCATTCAGATATCTTCTTTGAGAAAGTTTCTGTTCCATTTCATTACCCCATTTTTTGATGAGGTTGGAAGTTTTCTTGTTGTGGAGTTCAACCAGTGCTTTGTAAATTCTTGATATCAACCCCTTATCAGATGGGTATTGGGTGAATATCTTTTCTCATCCTGTAGACTGTCTTTATATTTTGATCACTGTTTCTTTTGAGGTGCAGAACTTGGTTTAATATAGTCCCATTTGTTTATCTCTGTTTTCACTTGCTTGACCAGTGGCATGTCATGTTTGAAGATACCGATAGCTTCAATGTCGTGGAAGGTTTTGCCAACCTTGTCTTCAGTGTACCTTATGGATTCTGGTCTGATGTTGAGGTCTTTCATCTTTTTTGATCTTACTTTTGTACATGGTGTTAGGTAGAGATCCGAGCCCATTTTTTTGCATGTAGCTGTCTCGTTTTGCCAGCAGAATTTATTAAAGAGGCTTTCCTTGCTTCACTTCACATTTCTTGCTCCCTTATCAAAGATTAGATGGTCATATATTTGGGGCGAGGAGGGGTGTCAGTATATTCAACCATGTTCCATTGGTCTGTGGCTCTTCCTTTGTTCCAGTACCATGCTGTTTTAATTATTACCGCTTTGTAGTAGAGTTTGAGGTTGGGGAGGTTGATTCCTCCCATTTTCTTTTTCCCAAGAATTGTTTTAGCTACTCGTGGGGGCTTACTGTTCCATATAAATTTCAGGAATGTTTGCTCCATTTCTTTGAAGCATGTCATGGGCATCCTTATAGGGATTGCATTGAATTTGTACAATGCTTTGGGGAGTATTGCCATTTTGACCATGTTAATTCTCCCAATCCATGAGCAGGAGATATCTTTCCATTTCCTTGTGTCTTCTTTTATTTCCTGAAGTAGCATTTTGTAGTTTTCTTTGTACAGGTCTTTTACCTCCTTAGTTAAGCTGATTCCAGGGTACTTGATTTTCTGAGGCACGATTGTGAACGGGATTGCTTTTTTCATGTCATTTTCTTCCCTCACATTATTTGCATCTAGGAAAGCCATGGACTTTTGGGTATTGATTTTATAGCCTGCAACTTTACTATAACACTGTAGCACTGCCCCCCTTTGTTCATTGATTTACTCAAGGGGGCACCAGTAATGTCTCCATTATGAGACTTATTACTGTTTTTTGGCATACCAGGCTTTGCTATGCAGGTGGAATACTCTCATTAGCTTGCCGGGCTGTCCGAGAAGGGCAGAGGAATAGAACCTGGGTTAGCTGAGTGCAAGGCAAATGCCCTACCCGCTATGCTATCACTCCGGCCTGCAACTTTAGTATACAAGTCTATTGTTTCTAGGAGTTTCTTGGTAGAGGTTTTAGGGTTCTCTAAGTATAATATCATGTCATCTGTGAATAATGAGAGCTTGATTTCTTCCTTTCCTATCTGAATGCCCTAATGTCTTTTTCTTGCCCAACCGCTGTTGCAAGTACTTCCAGTACTGTATTAAACAGAAGTAGAGAGAGTGGGCATCCTTGTCTTGTCCCTGATCTTAGAGGGAAGGCCCTTAGTTTTTCCCCACTGAGGATAATGCTTGCCATAGGTTTGTCATAGATGGCTTTGACTATTTTGAGGAACGTCCCTTTTATACCCATTTTGGTGAGAGTTTTCATCATAAACGGGTACTGGATCTTTTCAAATGCTTTCTCTGCATCTATTGATATGATCATATGGTTTTTATCTTCTCTTTTGTTGATATGATGATTATGTTGATTGATTTCCGAATGTTAAACCATCCTTGCATCCCTGGGATGAATTCCACTTGGTCGTGGTGTATGATCTTTTTGATGAGTTGTTGGATTCCGTTTGCTAATATTTTGTTGAGGATCTTTGCATCTGTGTTCATCAGGGATATCGGCCTATAGTTTTCTTTTTTTTGTGGCATCTTTGTTTGCTTTTGGTAGTAGGGAGATATGTGCCTCATAGAAACTGTTTGGGAGGGTTTCTTGGTCTTTGATTTCTTGGGAAAGCTTGAGGAGAATTGGAAATAGCTTTTGGTAAGTCTTTGAATGTTTGGAAGAATTTGCTAGTGAATCCATCAGGACCTGGGCTTTTGTTTTTGGGAAGACTTTTGATTGCAGTTTCAATTTCCTTGATATTTTAGGTCTACTCAGGTATTCCAGATTTTCTCGGTTCAACTTTGGGATATTATAGGAATCCAGGAATTTATCCATTTCTTCTAGGTTCTCTTGTTTCGTGGCATACAGACTTTCAAAGTAGTCTCTGATGATCTTCTGAATTTCTTTGGTTTCTCTTGTGATGTCCCCCTTTTCATTTCTGATTCAGTTAATTAGAGTTCTCTCTCTGTCTTTCTTTGTGAGTCTCACTAGTGGTTTATCAATTTTGTTTATTTTCTCGAAGAACCAGCTCTTGGTTTCATTGACCTTTTGTATTGTTTTTTGGGTTTCCATGTCGTTAATTTCTGCTCTACGTTTTATTATTTCTTTCTTTCTTCCTGGTTTGGTCTCCTTTTGCTGGTCCTTTTCTGAGATCTTGAGCTGTGAAGTCAAGTTATCTCTGTGGGCTCTTCTTTCCTGAGGAATGCTTGCGGGGCTATAAATTTTCCCCTTAATACTGCTTTTAGCTGCGTCCCATAGCTTTTGGTAAGTCGTGTCTTCATTCTCATTTGTTTCCAGGTATCTTTTGATTTCTTCCTTGATTTCCTTCCCGACCCACTCGTTGTTCAACATTGAGTTGTTTAATTTGTTGGGTTTGCTTCTCCACGTTTTCGCATGGTTAACTTCTGTTTCCAGCACATTGTTGTCTGAGAAGATAGTTGATACAGTTTCTGTTTTCCTGATTCTGGTGAGGTATGTTTTGTGATCCAGCACATGGTCTGTTCTGGAGAATGTTCCGTGTCAACTGGAAAAGAATGTGTATTCTTTCTTTTGGGGGTGTGAAGCCCTGTGTAGGTCTGTTAGCCTTCTCTCTTCTATTTCTTCCTTCAAAACCAGTGTTTCCTTGCTGAGTTTTGTTCTTGTTGATCTATTCAGAGGTGATAAGGAGATGTTGAAGTCTCCGACTACTATTGTATTGGTAGCAGTGTCCTCCTTAAAATCTGTTAGCAGTTGTTGTAAGCATTTAGCTGGTCCCTCGTGAGGTGCATACACATTTAAGAGTGTGATTTCTTGCTGTTGTACATATCCCTTGATAAATAGAAAATGGCCTTCCCTGTCCCTTCTAATCTTTTTTAACCTGAAATCTATGTTGTCGGATACTAGTTTGGCCACCCCAGCTTTTTTGAGGGAGTTGTTTGTTTGCAGGATTGTCTTCCACCCTTTCACTTTGAGTCTGTGTTTGCGCTGACTGTTGAGATGAGTTTCTTGCAGGCAGCAGAATGTTGGTTTCAGTTTCTGGATCCATTTTACCACTCTGTGTCTCTTGATTGGTGCATTTAGACCATTGTCGTTGGGAGAGATTATTGTCACAGGGTTTTGTGCCATCTTTCTGTAAGGGTTTGTTGTGCTTGTAGGGGGTTTTCTTCTCTTACGGAAGCCCCCCTAGTCCTTCTTTTAAGTTTTGAGCCTATGAAGTTCCTGAGCTGTTTCACCGTGAAATAGTGTATGGTTCCTCGAGTTTTAGTGAGAGTTTTGCTGGATAGAATATTCTTTTTTTTTTTTTTAATTTTTTTTTTTTTTTTATTGAATCACTGTGGGAAAGGTTACAAAGCTTTCAGGTTTATGTCTCAGTCATGCAAATATCAAACACATTTCCCTTTACCAATACTTATTTTTTACCATGAAGAACCCCAATAAAACCCCACCCCCCACCCCTCCCGGTCCCTGTGAGGCAGATGAATTCTAGTTAACACTCTATCTGCTTTGATTAGATTCATTGTTTCAGTAAAAGATTCACCACTATTATTTAGAGTTCCCCCCCCCCCCCCAAATCAGACATGCTGAAAAAGCATTGTGAAGTGATTTGCTTTCTACAGCTGGGTTCAAGAATTAAATGTTGGTTTTGAATTTCTGCTATTTTACCTATTGACCCTGAAAGTATTTCTACTGAAAGTCAGATAGTTAAGAAATTGGTTTCTGTGTTCTGGAGTCGTGGCCGTGCTGGAGAGCCGCTCGCGGGGGGCAACCGGTGGCCTCGGTAGGGCGTGAAGGGCGGAGCGAAACGCCCCCCTTCCCATGAGGTTTTAGTCGCCCCCACACTCCCGGCTCATACCTGCTGTCCACAAGGCTCCCATGTGGCCGCCATCTTTCTTTCCAGAGAGGAGAGGGCGAATGGGGCAACACCCTTTCCCCTCCGGCAGACTTGATGACCTGGATCAACGCATAGTCCGTTCACTTTTCTGCTCCAAGCTGCTGGGTTCTGCATTAAGTCCTTGTGCTTCTGGGGCCATGGCCGTGCTGGAGAGCCGCTCGTGGGGGGCGACTGGTGACCTCGGTAGGGCGTGAAGGACGGACCGGAACGCCCCCCGACCCATGAGGTTTTAGTCGCCCCCACTCCCCCGGCTCATACCTGCTGTCCACAAGGCTCCCATGTGGCCGCCATCTTTCTTTCCAGAGGGAGGAGGGCGGAAGGGAGCAACACCCTTTCCCCTCTGGGCAGAAATGATTGCCTGGATTAACCCATAGTCCTTTCACTTTTCTGCTCCAAGATGCTGGGTTCTGCATTAAGTCCTTGTGCTTCTGGGGCTGTGGCCGTGCTGGAGAGCCGCTCGTGGGGGGCAACTGGTGACCTCGGTAGGGCGTGAAGGACGGACCGGAACGCCCCCCTTCCCATGAGGTTTTAGTCGCCCCCACACCCCCGGCTCATACCTGCTGTCCACAAGGCTCCCATGCGGCCGCCATCCTTCTTTCCAGAGAAGAGAGGGCGAATGGGGCAACACCCTTTCCTCTCTGGGTAGAAATGATGGCCTGGGTTAACGCATCGTCTGTTCACTTTTCTGCTCTAAGCTGCTGGGTTCTGCATTAAGTCCTTGTGTTTCTGGGGCTGTGGCCGTGCTCCAAACTTAACTCTGATTTTCAGGGAGAAAGATTGGGTGGTTTACTTCTCATTGATCACTTTGTATATAGAGAGATGTATATATATAGATGGCTTATGCGGCCGCGCGGTTTTGAGAAAAAGTCCTCGTTCCCGCATACTCGAGCTGTGTTTGTAGAGGGTTCTGGTTACCGGGGTTCCATCTGGGGGAGGCGGGATGCGGCACCTACTCCATCTGGAACTTGCCGGTGATCTCGGCTCTTTTTGAAACCTTTTTTTTCCCTCCGGGATCTGTGGTTCCCGCACCCTCCATGTGGTCCTTCTCTTCTGGATAGAATATTCTTAATGAGGCATTCGTTTCATTTCGTTTTTTCACTATATCCCCCCATTGTCTTTGGGCTTGGAGGGTTTCCTCTGATAGGAGCGCTTCTTTGTATGTGATTCCCTTCTTTGACCTTGCTGCTTATAGTATTGCGTCTCTATCCGTATCATCCATCATTCTGACTATGATGTGTCTTGGAGTGTTTCTCTTAGGGTCTCTTTTAGTTGGTACCCTTTGGGCTCCTTGGATCTGGTTGCCTGCATTCTCCAGCTCTGGGAACTTTTCTGCAGTGATATCTTAACTGTGACTTTTTCATTGCAGTTGCCTCCCTGTCCTTCTGGTACTCTGATGATTCTCCTGTTGTTCCTCTTGGATTCATCCCCGATTCGCTATTTTGAGGTCTTTTCCCGTGGTTTCTTGTTGTCTGTCAACTTTCTGCTGCTCATCTTCAAGCTCACTGATTCGGCTGTAGCCATTCTACTGTTGAGGGCACCCACTGTTTTTTATTTCATCTCTTGAATCCTTTATTCATGATTTCTGTTTGTAGCTTTCCTATTTCTACTCTCATTTCTTCCTGATTCTGTTGACTGCCCATTCCACTGTTTCATTCAAGTCCTCTTTTAATTTCCTGGATGTCTTTTCCACTGTTTCTTTGAGTTCATTGAACATCTTCAACATTTCAACTCTGCATTTCTTATGGGAGAGACCATATTTGTGAGTGGCCTCTCTTGGGGCTTCTGGACTTTTTTCTTCATCTTCCCCTCATGGTGGGGATTTGTGCTGTTTCTTCATGTTCTTGTGGTAGTATGGAGGTGGGATCTTCCAGTCTATCAGTTTTCTATCTTCACTATCAGTTTTCCCTCTTGGTGCGATTCGGGATTCTAGGTGAGCTCGGTCTATGGGGGTCGCCTTTTTCCCCTTCAGCTTCCTCTCATGTGCTCTCTGTGGCTTATGTGAGACCTCTAGTGACATTTCGGGGGATGTACTCTTTTACATTGAACTTGTACAGGTTCTTGTGTCTAAGGGTATTATGGTGCAGTTGGGGTAAGCTAGTGGATTATTGGCGTAATGTGTTTGAGATGGCCAGGGTATTCTCCCCCAAATGACCTGAGTCCAAAGAGCTAGGAAGGGGAAAATAAGAGTGGCTGGTGCCCTCAGAGGAGGCCCTGCTCCTAGCCACGCCCCTAGCTCAGAGGCCACGCCCCCTGGCTCGGAGGCCAACCTGCCCGCAGGAGAAGGCCTCTTGCTGGTTCCTGGGAAGAGGGGATTCCGAAGCGGTGGGGGGGTGGTGTGCGGGGGGTTGCTGGGGACCGGTGGGAGCTCCTCCAACCCACCTGCGGGACACGGTGGCACGCTGATTAATTTTACCTTTGTATTTTTTTCCCCAAGCAAATTGAACCATCCTTATATCCTAAGTTGTTCCAGAAAAATCTAGATCCAGATGTATTCAACCAGATCATTAAAATTCTGCATGACTTTTACATTGAGTAAGTAGGATTTTTTTAAGTTAACTTCCTATTGTAATGTATATTTTTTCTGGTTATTTGGAACATTAATTCTACTATCACAGTACTGCTTATATAGCCAAACTAACTCTCCATTTAGTTTTACTGTTGCAGAATTGTAAAGAGATGGTGTGTTTTAGCCATAAAAAGGGAAATTATTTGTTTTGGGGAAAAGTGATCTTGAAAGTTATTTTAATGGGAAGGCTAATAATGTGATAGAAGTGGCAAGGTATAGCAGAATATCTGTGTCAAGCCTCCTATTTAAGATTAATACTATTTCTTAGGCCTGAGCAATAGTACCAGCGGGAGTAAGGCGTTTCTCTGCCTTGCACAGGGCCAACCCAGATTCAGTCCCTAGCACCACACACTGTTTCCCATGCTCTGTCAGGAATAACCCCTGGCCAGAGTCAGGAGTAAGGTGACAAGGTGGGCCAAAAACAAGAATATTATAATTTTCTTCAGTTGACTTGGTAAGTCTTTCTGTTTGGGCATTTAAAATACAGAGAGTCTCCAGTTTTGTTTTGTTTTGTTTTTAAAAAGACAGGGGAAGACTTCATATATATTTACTGGAAAGATTGTGTTAGTAAACAGAATTCAGTGAATTACTTTAAGTTGCTTATTGCTTTTTATATTTGGCTTATTTCAGGAAAGAAAAACCATCACTCATTTTTGAAATTTTGCAAAGGCTGTCTGAATTACGACGATTTGATATGGCCGTGATGTTTATGTCAGAACCTGAGAAAAAAAGTAAGTTCTTTGAAGAAATCTTTATATTTTCTTTGTTTTTATATTTGTACATGTCTCTTTATTCAACAAATGACTGTGAATATTTAGTATTTACTGTGTGCAAGGTACATACAATCAAATTTAATTATAATCAAATCAGTTACTTTAAGTAGAGTCAAGACCTATTTATTTATTTATTTTGCTTTTTGGGTCACACCCAGCGATGCTCAGGGTTTACTCCTGGCTCTGCACTCAGGAATTACACCTGGCGATGCTTGGGGGACCATATGGGATGCTGGGGATTGAACCCAGGTCAGCCACGTCCAAGGCAAACGCCCTACCTGCTGTGCTATCGCTCTGGCCCCTAAAAACATTTTTTTTTTGGTTTTGGAGGGCCAGCTCCTGAGGTTCTCAGGGCTTAGTCCCCGCTCTGCACTCAGAGATCGTTCTGGCGGACTAGGGGGACCATGTGGAATGCCAGGGACCGAAGCTGCTTGGAAGGAGTATGCTACCCACAGTCCCATCTCTCTGGCCCCAAACTTAAGGTTTTTAGTCCTGTCAACAACGTTATTATGACGTGTAGGATTGATTATGATTCTTCAGTTGCAAAGTGGGAAACCAGGCCATAGGGAGGAATGTGACGAGGAATTTGACCAAGGTCCCATAGGTAGGACTCTGGACCCTGGATTTAAACATAGGCCACCTGTCTCTGTAATCTGGTCTCTCTATTTGAAAATGCAGTGATGGTGTAACGGTTTCATTTTTATTGTTGGGAACCTGTATAGAGTTCCTGATGGCTGCAGGCGCAGGAGGGGGGGTGCACTGGAATATAAGCCATTGCATGAGAGCTTTGATGTCAGCTCAACCCCTAAAGAAGTACAAGAGTCAGGGGAAAGGAGTGAGGGAGAGTCTTGGATGGAAGATATAGAACAGAGGAACTGCAGCAGGAAAGAAAAAACTGAATTCAGAATATTGAAAACAATCCATTGTAGAGGCACAATGAGTGGCAGATGAGGAACCTCAATAATTGATTCCTTATTCGCTAAATAAGCATCTAAATAATTAGATCCCTGAAATCTGTTTGCAGCATAAAGTGTCGCTTTGGAAAACCAAGTTTAATCAAACTATGCAGAAAGATTATTACCGAGAATTTTGGTTTATACTTTGGTTTGAGAAAAATGATTAGCATTCTTTTATTTTTTAAAATGACAAAAACTCACTGTACTATATTCAGGTACTTTTAGCTTGAGAAGCTAAGTTCCTAGCTGTGAAGTGGAGTGAGTCTGAGTCACTAGGAAAAATATTTTTCAGGGGCCAGAGAGAGAGGCCAGGGCAGGGCACTTGGCCTTGCCTGCTGTTGGCGCCTGCGCAGAGCCCAGCACCACCTACGGTCGCCTGGGCCTCTGGGAATGCCCTGAGCACCACTAGATACGGCGCCAAACCAAACAAGAAATAACAGTATAAAGCTTTAGATTGTACTTGGGAAAGTGGATGTGTGAGCACTGTAGAGATTTGGGGGTTGGTGCCTCATGAGCAGTGCTTGGGGTGGGGGGTGCAGGTGCTGGGAATCAGACTTGGGGGCCTTTTTGGCAGACACGCGTGCCAGCCTCTGAACTATCTCCCCTCCCTTTAGAGAGGTTTTAAAGAGAAGGTCTTAAAACATCGCAGTTTCTGTTTTTCAGATTGCGAACAGCCCCTAAAAATTTCATTAAGAACCATTCCTTTTTTTAAACACTCCTCTGACCGGGTCTGCTTCCGTTCAGTCCTGGTGCCCAACCACGCCATCTTTCAATATACAAAATTGCTAAACTTATTTTAGATTCCTTGCGTTTGCCTCTCCCCCAGTTTGCAGTATCTTCTCTCATTCTTCATCTTGTTGTCTTCCTCATCGCATTCAGTTTCCCTCTCACAATCACCCCCTCAGAGGCCTACTTGGAGGAACTGCCACTTCCTCTCCCTCATCACTACTTATTACTGTTTCATTTTTCTTCCTAGTATGTAAATGGATAATAAATACACAGATTGTTGTATATTTATTATAGTATACAAAATACCTTTTACAGAATTATTATTTTCTTATAATGTATTTGTATTATTTTCTTATAATGTATATGCAGATAATGTATTTATTCTAATATACTGAATTTTGTATATTTATTATCTCCCCGGGCTGGAGCGATAGCACAGCGGTAGGGCGTTTGCCTTAGGCCGAGCTGGGTTTGATTCTTCCGCCCCTCTCAGAGAGCCCGGCAAGCTACCAAGAGTCTCTCACCCGCACAGCAAAGCCTGGCAAGCTACCCATGACGTATTCGATATGCCAAACTCAGTAACAGCAAGTCTCAAAATGGAGACGTTACTGGGCCCGCTCAAGCAAATTGATGAACAACGGGACGACAGTGACCGTGACAGTGATTATCTCCCCATAATAGAATGAAACTCCCTCAGAGCAGGAGCCTTTCTTGTTTTCTGGGCCTCGGAATAGAGAACAGTGCTTAGTCTATAACAGCCTCTCAGCATGCATTTGTTGGACATACTAGAGTCTGACCACTTGTATAAGTTCAGGTGTACCCAAAGAATGTGATGTGCTTTTCAGAGTGGCCTGCCCTGTCTTGCTTGGGTTACTGCTGTCAGCTAAATTCAATTTTGGTCCCTTACAGTGGTTCCTTGCATGTAACGAAGAATCCAATTTCTCTTGGTTATTATCTTTTATTAAAAGTAAAGTAAAGTAAAGGCCCTCCCGTTGATCATCGATTTGCTCGAGCGGGCCCAGTAACGTCTCCATTGGAGACTTTGTTGTTACTGTGTCTGGCATATCGAATACGCCACGGGGAGCTTGCCAGGCTCTGCCGTGTGGGCGAGATACTCTCGGTAGCTTGCCGGGCTCTCTGAGAGGGGCGGAGGAATCGAACTCGGGTCGGCCATGTTGACTGCGTGCAAAGCAAACGCCCTATCCACTGTGCTATCGCTCTATTAATACTGTCATTAAAAGATAATGGAAAGACAATAAGTAACTGAAAAACTTGAAGCATAACCATGTTTATTCTAAAGTGTTGAGTGTGAGGTGCAGGAGAGTTACCACAACGGCGGGGTACTTGCCTTGTTTAAGTAAATAGCTCATCAAACATGATTGATAGCGATCACTGCTGATGCTCAATTTATAGGAGTATCACTGTCACTGTCACTGTCCTCCCGTTATTCATCAGTTTGCTCAAGCAGGCCCCGTAACATCTCCATTGTGACACTTGTTACTGTGTTTGGCATAGGGAATATGTCACAGGTAGCTTGCCGGGCTCTCCGAGGGGAGTGGAGGACTTGAACCCGGGTTGGCCAGGTTGGCTGCGTGCAAGGCAAACGCCCTACCTGCTGTGTTATAGTAGTATAAAAATTGTAAAATAATGATTATAAGTTTGAAAAATAATTCATTGACATAGTAGTATATAAAAGTGTTCTTGTTACTCAGATGAGGCACACTTTTAAAAATTTCTACATTGAGTTAATTTATGTCATTAAAGATGTAGACAAAAAGTGAACTATTCTAGCAAAAAAGAATTTCATTGGAGTGCTGTATGATTTCTTATTCTTGGGTTGCCTTTTTAAAATATTTGAATTAGAGTTATAATACTATTAATGATTATTGCTTTAAAATGTAAAAAGTTTTTGTTTTACATTTCAGAGTATCCCTTTTAATTTTTGTTCCAGTTAGATTTATAAAATGGTGATTTAACATGGAGAATTTTTTTCCCTTTTCCAGTTGCACGTGTATTGTTCAATCACATAGATAAATCAGGATTGAAGAATACGTCTCTTGAAGAACTCAAGAAAAGATATGGTGGTTGACTTCCATTTTTACTGAAATTAGTTACCTTTGATCTTAATAAGTAAAATTTTCTCTACTGAAAATAGTATGTGTGGCTTTTTAAGGAAATGGTATCATACAGAAAAGGACTGGATATAATGAACTATAAAGTGAATTGTAATTGAAAATTGAAGTGAACTTAAGTGAAATATTTAAAAGTCTTATTCTGAAACAAAACTCAATAATAAAATGTATTTGTAAAGATAGTAGTTTGTATCATTTAAAAATCTTAAATCTGTGACTGGAGATAGAGCTACTAGTGGTACAGCATTTGCCTTGCCTATGTGAAGCCTGAATCTGATTCCTAGCACTGTAAAAAAATAAATTTTTTAAGTCTAGATCTAGGTACACTCTTCTGTATCTCAAAATGTTCCATTATTTCTGCACTTTAATGAGTTTTATAGCCATGGGGCAGAGCTGTTTATTAGCGTATGAACTGAGAGGCAATTAAATAGGTAACCAGGTCGTTTATAAAACTTTTTAATATTGTACCACTTCACTAACGTAAAATCTGTTAGCTGCAGGGTATTTGCTTTCAGTATTAAGTTGAAAGAAGACTGACTTCAGCTCGTTTGAAAAAGTCCAGTGATGTCTTCGTTCAACTCCAGTACTTTTGCTTTCAGTAGTTTACAGTCCACACCCATCGGCAACATAGGCACAAGCAGTGAGCTGATGCTGCTGTAAACATACTAGTCTACAAATGTTTTATATCTGACTTTGTTTCCTACCGTTGGTTAACCTGAGGAAGAATTGGCATTCAAGTGGTTGTGTGTTGACTTTTGAACGATTTGAAGAGTTTTTCAAGTCTTTAATACACGGTATCTTGGTTATTAATGTTTTTGATATATGTATAAGGTAGGTTAGAGTTATTGCCATTTCTAATATAAAACTGCAATAAGTGATCTTCTTAGGATTACAGAGCTTTGAAAGTATAGAGAAGGTTCAGAAATTGCTGTCCCCTCTCTCTCTCTCTCTCTCTCTCTCTCTCTCTCTCTGCTTCGTTTTGTTTTTCATTTTGGGCCACACCCTGCTGTACTCAGTGCTTGTTCCTGGCAGGGCTTGGGAGACCATATATAGTGCAGGAGATCAGACCGGGGCTGGCTGCTTGTAAGGCAAATGCCCTCTGCCCGCAGGACTGTCTCTCCTGCCCCTGTCTTCTAACTCTTCGTGTGTAGCTGCTTGAATTGCTCCAAACTGTATATTAATATGTGTTACCAGCATAGGGATCAGGGACCAAAGATGTAGAAGTCCCATAATTTTGGCTGGAGCGATAGCACAGCGGGTAGGGCGTTCGCCTTACAAGCGGCCAACATGTCCGACCCGAGTTCGATTCCTCCGCCCCTCTCGGAGAGCCCGGCAAGCTACCGAGAGTATTCGATATGCCAGACACAGTAACAACAAAGTCTCCAATTGAGACGTTACTGGGCCCGCTCGAGCAAATCGATGATCAACGGGAGGGCCTTTACCTTTTAGAATTTGCATTAATTAAAAAAAAACTGAAAAAATTTATGTGAACTTGTTTTTCCTTCAGAAACGCTTTCATGGTGTAGTTAAGGCAAAAGGCTCTGGACACTGACTCTCAGGTCTGGATTCTGGCTTCATCTTCCGTTTGGCTTCTGGGACTGGATCCGGCATGTCTCTTTGGGTCACCAGTGTTTTGAGTTCCCTTGTCACTTGATCATTTCAACCTCAGTACATGTTTGCAGAATTAAAGGAAATAAGCACATTTTGTGTTTGGAACAGGACTAGACACATAGTAAGCACATAGCAAACTATTATTACAGTGATTTTTCTGAAAGTAGTTGAAATAAAGTATAGTCTTTAGAAAGTATGATTTGTTGCTTTACTGCAAAGAAGCACTGATGTAGTTATCTTATTTTACAGTTGTTTTGAGTTTTCGTTTGCATGACCAAAAGTGTATGCCTTTGACTCACTGTGCAAGGTCACTTGATCACTTGACTTCCTGTTAATCGTCGATTTGCTCGAGCGGGCGCCAGTAACGTCTCCATTTGTCCCTGTCACGTGCTAGTGTAGCCCAGTGGCTTCTGTTCGTTCTAGGAACACGAAGAGCCTCAAACCGATCGTTCAGGGTCTTGACGAAGAAGTCTGACCATCTGGTAGGTGGGCGGCCACGCGGTCTTTTGACGTCCCATGGAATCCAGTCGGTAATGGCTCTAGTCCAGCGGTCATCTCCAAATCTCATTATGTGTCCAGCCCGTCTGATTTTCGATGCCTTGGCAAACAAGAGAGCGTCCCTGATTCTTGACCATCAACGGAGGTCAAAACTCAGGATTTAGGGCTGGAGAGATAGCACAGCGGGTAGGGCGTTTGCCTTGCATGTGGCTGACCTGGGTTCGATTTCCTGCATCCCATATGGTCCCCTGAGCACCGCCAGGAGTAACCCCTGTGCATCGCCAGGTGTGACCCAAAAAGCAAAAAAAAACCTCCGGATTCTTTCTCTCATTTGAGTGAAGTGTGATACTCCTAGCATAGCTCTTTCAATTCCTCACTGGGAGACCCGAAGAGCGTTCTCGTCCTGTTTTCGGGGGGCCCAGGACTCTGAGGCGTATGCTAATACTGCGCAAGGTAAACTCTTTAAACCTCAGTTTGGGAGACGGGAGAGACTTAGTACAGCAGGCCGGGCGTTTGTGTTGCACACAGCTCACCCAGGTTCAGTCTCCAGCAACCCTGACGGACCCCCGAGCCCTGCCCCGAGTGATTGTGAGTGCAGTACCGGGAGTAAGCACCCCTAGGCGTGGCCACAGAACAAACACAGAAACCTAGACTCTCCATTTCTACTTCAGTTAAAACGAGAGTAAGAGCCTACGCCTGCCTCACCTGGGGACTTCTATGTTCCCCGTCCCCAGCTCCTCAGACCAGAGCCAAGGCAGAGCGCACCTTCGTTGCATCAAGCCCAAGGGAGCACAGCATAGAACATGAAGTGTCTCGAGCAGAAGGGATTCTGCCTTGTGGCCATGCAGGACCCCGAGCACTTCCCACAGCAGCATATCGCCGGTCCCTCAGTTCTTCCCAGAGCTTGTGAAGTTCATGAACTCTTCACCCACGGTGAGTTGGTCTGCAAGGGACTGAGTGTTGTGAAGTTGCTGACTGGGGAGACCAACCCAGCAGATTCTCAGTCTAGCACCATTCAAGGGACTTTTGCATTCAGGTTGGCAGCAACATCGTTCATCGTCGTGACTCAGTAAAAGTGCTGAGAAAGAAGTTGATCTGTGGTTTCAATCTGAAGGATTGGCGAGTCACAAGTCCTGTGCTTTCCACTGCACCTATGCGTGAAGGGGACAAAGTGTCTGACCCTGTGGTGATTGTGGATGGAGCCCTTCATCTTGACATGGAAGCAATTGGAGCAAGTTACCGTTAATTTTTGGAAAGTGAAAGAATAGTCACATAATAAGCATTTTCTTCAGAGGCTCTTAGAAGGAATGAGCTAATACATGGAATATTTGCTCCAGTGCCTTTCATAAGATTGCTTTGTGATATTTGTTAATACTAGTCAGTACCGTGGCGATCAAGACGCCAGAGGAGAACGTCCCCAAATGGTTTCTTTTTGGAAATCCAGATCTTCACTGTTAATGCCTTCTTACTCGATCATAATCCTTAGATTAGAATTTGCATTATTGACAGCAATACCAGGCTTGCCATTCCATGACTTCTCAAATCTTTGTTTCGTTTCTGCTAGGTTCAGTCCATTGATAGAGGGGCTGGAGCAATAGCACAGCAGGTGATTCACGCGGCCGACCTGGGTTTGATTCCCTGCACCATTTATGGTTCCCCCAAGCCCTGCCAGGAGTGATCCCTGAGAGCAGAGCAAGAGGTGAGAGCTAAGTACAGCTGCGTGAGGCTCAGAAGCAGTAGTAATTGTAACTACTATTGTAATTTTTACGGTAATTACAGCATGATTAAGATTAGACTCCAAGTAACTATACAGTACCAAGCCTGAGTTTCTTCCATTCATTCCTAATGTTTAGCCTTTACCAGAGTTTTGTTTAATATTAAGAAAGTTAATGTTAATGAAGTGATTTGTCAATTTTACAAATATTAAGTCCACCAATAGGCATGAAAACAAGTGATCAAATGTGAATTCTGCTCTCACAGATGAAATTTAATGGGGATAAACCTAGCTAGAGCATGATCAGTCCTGTGTCAGGAGGGGGATCATGGTGTAGGGTCGAAACGCTTGCCGCCCATGAAGGAAGACTCCAAGAGACTTTCTCATGCAACACGCACAGGGTTTATTGTCCAAGCATGCTGGGTCTCACTACACGGCCCGCAAACAGGACAGAGGCAGAGAGCCCCGAGGCAAAAGACAGTGGGTTTTTATAATCAAGAAGAAACAAAGGAATCTTACAGTGCAGCAATCTGCAGCTTTACCAAGAGCAGCACGACACTTGCTCAAGATTAACTTCCTCGGAATATCTGAGCACTTGTCCCCATATCTGGCCCAACCACAAGGTCCTAGCAGGGTGTAGGTGGGAGCTACATTATAATTCTTTTGAGCCAGCTTTTGCAACTCTAGCTTTCACAGCTTTTACAGTTTTCTGGTTAACTCTTTCCTACCAGGTAACTCTTTCATGACTATTAGCCCGGGCGGCCCTTACATTTCTATCTCTGGCCTTACAATGGGAAGAGCAAAGGCAAAATAAAAGTATCTTTGAGAAACTTTGTTTGTATCACAGACTGAGAGCTGGAGGAAAAGGCCAAGATTTGGTATTTGGACACAAAATAACTTGTCTATTACATCAACTGTATCGCAGTACACACAGAATATAGTTATGTTGACATTTTGTAAAGTTTTACCTTGACCACCGTGGGAAGAATTACTGTGTTACTCTGGAGTGAGGAAAACTTTTTATAAGATTCTTTTTATAATTATGAGAAGATCTGGAGTACCAACCATAAGCGAAATGAAGGGAATGGAGACATACTTAGGAAGTAGGTTCAAGTCATCAGGGAAATGTGAATTAAAATCAATTTGCTCGAGCATGCTCAGTAACGTCTCTATCATGAGACTTGATGTTACTGTGTTTGTCATATCGAATACATCACGGGTAGTTTGCCAGGCTCTGCCGTGAGGGCGAAATACTCTCGGTAGCTTGCCGGGCTCTCCAAGAGGGGCGGCAATGAAATATAGTCACCAGTGAGGCTGGCACATATCACAAAGAACAAAAACAACCAGTGTTGGCAAGGATGTTGGGAAAGGGACCCTCGTTCATT